TCGCGTATTCGGTTGCCTTTGTTTTCCCTGGCTTAAACCTTACACCACATCCAAACTATCCCCTCGCTCCACTCCCTGCACCTTTCTTGGCTATTCCCCTCTCCACAAAGGATACAAATGTTTTGACCCTCAAACCGACAAAATGTATATCTCTCGCCACGTAATCTTTCACGAAACCATCTTTCCGCACAAATCCACCACCTCTCCATCCACTTCACCGATCCCGTCGTCAGACACCTTTCCACCCCCCCTTCTCCTGGTTCCAACGTCTACAAATTCTTGTCAGCATACTACCAATCAACTCCCCACTACTCAGCATACTACCACTCACCAAAACTCTACCAACTCGTCTACCAACATCAGCTCACTGCCTCACGCCCCTGCACCATCCAATACGCCGTCCCCATCCACCATATCGACCAACACACCTCAGCTAACTCCTCATCCGTCGCACCCTATGGTCACCCGCCTCAAATCTGGAATCACCAAACCTAAGCATATTCTAAATCTCCTTAGCCACACCTCTGTTTCTCAGATCCCGAAGAACTACAAGCAAGCTATTACCCAACCTCACTGGCTCCGTGCAATGAGCGAAGAATATCAGGCTCTGCAGCGACAGCACACATGGACGCTTGTCTCTCCACCGACCGATAAACCCATCTTAAGCAGTAAATGGACATATAAAATTAAAACCCTTCCTTCTGGCCAGATTGACAGATACAAAGCACGACTCGTTGCATTAGGATACGATCAAGAGTTTGGCATCAACTTCACCGAGACATTCAGTCCCGTCGCGAAGATGACTACCATCCGTGTACTACTCACCCTTGCTCTTCACCGACAGTGGCCAATCTTCCAACTCGACGTGTCCAACGCCTTCCTACATGGTGATCTGCACGACGACATTTATATGTACCAGCCCCCCGGTTTCGAAGACAAAACCCGACCGAACGACGTATGCAAACTTCAAAAATCTCTATACGGCCTCAAGCAAGCTCCGCGCCAGTGGTTCCAGAAACTCACTACCTTTCTTCAGTCCAAAGGATTCGGGTTCAGTCGTTCCGATCCCTCCTTACTTCTCTTTCAACATAATAATATCTTCATTTACATCCTAATCTATGTTGATGACTTTCTTGTTACAGGTAATAACCCGGAAGCCATCCAGAACATTCTTCAACAACTTCGGACTCAATTCTCACTCAAACAATTAGGAACAATTTCCCTCTTTCTCGGCATTCAAGTTCACCACCAACAATCCGGCTATTTCCTTACTCAAGAACACTACGCCACCAAAATATTACAAGAAGCCGGCATGACAGATTGTAAGCCAGCTCCCACACCGGTAACACCAACTCCCAAACACCCTCTCGCCGAGTCACCTCCTTTCCATAATCCCGCGCTCTACCGGAAACTCGCCGGGTCCCTTCAATATCTCTCAATTACGAGGCCGGACATCGCCTTTGCAACCAATCACATTTGTCAACACATGCATCGGCCAACAGATCGGCACTTTCAAGATCTCAAACGGTTACTTCGATACATCAAAGGTACGACCTCTTATGGCCTACCCATCACTCCGGGACAGCTCACTCTCACGACCTATACAGACGCCGACTGGGCGTCCGACCACACCGATCGAAAGTCGGTATCGGGATTCTGCTCCTACCTCGGCAACACCTTGATATCATGGACCGTTAAGAAACAGCAAACGGTCGCAAAATCTACTACAGAAGCCGAATATCGCTCTCTATCAGCAGCAGTTTCGGAGGTACTCTGGCTCCGCCGTCTTGCACACGAGCTCCGCATTACCCAGCATTCGCCGACCACCATATACTGCGACAATATCTCCGCCATCGCTATTGCCAAAAATCCGGTCTTTCATGCCCGGACCAAACACATCGAAATCGATTTTCATTTCACCCGACAACACATCGAGGACGGCAACATTATCATTGAACACATCTCCTCAGCAAACCAAGTAGCAGATGCTCTGACTAAGGCGTTACCCATCCAACGCTTCAATGAACTTCGCACCAAATTAACCATCCGGCAACCGAACGGTTAATTTGAGGGAGGCTATTAGCACCTGTATTCACCTCAGCATTTATATTTACACTTCTATCCTCCTGTAGCTATATATACTTGTACCGCTGTTGTTAATAACGACATACATACATTACATTTGTTTGTTTCTCTCTGTTCTCGTTCTTTATCCTCTTTCTCCGTTCTTTCTCCGTCCGCTCGCAAGAGTAACATCAAAATGAAATGCCAGATCAAGCGACAGAACTATATAACAAAATACAAAGAAACCCTGCATCCCTTAAAACCTTAGCCAAAAATAAGAAGTTCATTAGTTCCTAAAATCACTAAAAAAAGTAAAAGGAACAAAGCCCAGATTGTAGACCAATGATGGTGGTTGGAGGTTCATAATCCGACAACAGTGGTTAGATGACCATAATTGAGCAATAGTGTTTGGTGGAGCATAATTAGATGACAATGGTCATGAGATGTTAAAATTAATTGATCTTGGGCTCATTAGATTTATCTCGTTAAAATGCTCGATTTAACTATAAATATATGAGATTTGGAGATTGCTTGGTCCATCAATTAATGACTTCAAGTTGTTAATTATTTTCAGTTGCTTAATCTGGGCTCTCTCGAATATGAATCAGATCACTTTTTGTATCGATGTGCTCTTCTGCTTAAAATGTTCCGTTTAATTATAGTTTCACTAAAATTTAAATTTGAATTATTTGCAGTTTGATTAAAAAAAAATTCAATTCAAATTTGTATCGATAATTTAATTTTTTTACTTCTAAAAAATGTATATATAGATAAATTTAAATGAAATAAATTTAAATTTATATAAATGAAAGCCTATAGCACCATAAATTGTTAATAATTCCTCCTAAATGAAATAAATTTAAATTTACTTCCAAATTCGAAGAGGGTTATTAGATCTTATCGAATTTCAAAATTTATACTTCTAAAAAAAAAGTGTGAAACCATTTCTTTGTTAATCTTAAAATAGTAATTTTATAAACTCAAAATCAATAATAAATACTATAAAAAAATATTAAAACATCACTTTGTTATCTCCAATCCCATTTTTTCATATACAAAGTCTTTGACACAATTAAAACCTTATCAAACATATTATATCTTATTTAAATATTTTTCCCCCTAACATATTATATAAGTTTTTTTATTTAAATATAAAACATTTCAATATTATCAATTAGAAAAATTCTTAGTGGACCATTTCAAAAATAGGTCGATATCTCTAAGGAGGCCATTTCAACTACGCTCATTTTAATTTTTTTTTAAAAATGTAATTAGATTTTTAATTAGGTCATTAGATAATTAATTATGTTTAATTTTTCTTTAAATAGCTTGTTACATATCTAATGCTCATGCTTGAGGAGGTCACATCTCACATAAGTTCTCCTTATTACATTTCTTGCTATTGTAATAAAGTATCAATGTGATGGTATTCTCAACAACTTTTTATGTAAGTTTCAATCATATTAAATGACTAATATACCCCTATGGGCCCCAACTATTTTCCCCAAAATGTTATAATTGGTTAGAGACAACAATTTGGGCAATTGCTTTAATTTATTTATTTATTATTTTACTTAAAATATTATTAGCATATATTTGGGAAGGGAGAGGGGCCTTGATGTAATTTTCTTTGTAGATTTGATAATTATAACGAGTTTATGTTTGTTTGTTTTTTTTAATTATTGTTCGATAGTATCTATAAAAATAATTTTTTGCAGTTTATTTTTACAATAATACATATTTATTAAAGCATATAAGATTGAATGAGTATTATTAATCATTTGACTATAAATTTAGGTTTCATTTGAGACAAATTTTGATCGTTACTTTTTCGTTATTTTATTTTTTAAATTGTACTAAGTTGTAGAAAGCAGCAAAAAAAATGTCCCAAATAAAGATTAAGGCTTAGTTTGGGATGTCTTTCAATTCTTACTATTTTTTAAATCAGCTTTTTAATACAAAAATTAAAATTTTTATACTAAAAAGCTACTTTAAGAAATAATAAAAAAGATTTAACAAGCGAAGTCTTAAACTCATCCAACTTTTTTTTGATAGATAATATACATAAAAATTAATTTTTTTTTAAAAATATTTAATAAGGGGAACACAAAATATATTGAAAATTTTTTAATTTAATGATAGAATAAGGGTAGAAAATTCTCATTTCTTAAGGGGAAAAAAAAAAGGGAAATAGCCATTGAGCTAATTTCATTTCAGGATTGGATCTTTGTATAAGATTCCTACAGTACTGTTCTTGTTATTAAACAGTACTGATCATATTATATGAGAATAATTTTTATTATATGCAATAATTTAATGAATGAGTTAGGATGTACTCTGTACATAGAAAAAAATAATATATTTATTATTTTATTGTTCAAATGTGGAATAAAAAGAAAACATTGTGAATATTCAAATTCTTTTAGAAAGATAAAAAGGATTGGAAAATCTTTTCAAAATAAAAAGTAAAAAAGAAATGCCATTTGAAATCTAAATGAAGAAAATAGAGAAAAAAAACTTATAAAAAGTTTTGTTTTTCTTTGATGATCATTTACTCTTTTAAGAAATTCATAATCAAAATAAAAACAAAAATTTAAAATTTTTGAATAATTCCTCATAAATGGTAAGGATCCATCATTAGCAAAATTTAATAAGATAAATTTTACCAAAAATTTATTTTCTATTTATGATATGAAGATGAGATTAAAAATATTATTTTTAAAGTTGGTAAAACAATTTTTTAGGAAAAAAATCAATAGGTTAAATGAGGAAGTTTCTTCTGCCTGGTGTGATGTGGGGGTGGAATGGTGAACAAAAAATAAATGCGCTGGATAGTGACAAATCGGACGTCATTGTTCTAAGAAGGTAGTTTGTTCTTGTGGGAGATTTTGTTATCTGGGATCCCTTTCTTTCTTTATCAATCCGTGGCCCAGCAGATCGATAACAATCTAAAATCTCTTGCTTCTTTCAGTTGCTATGGAGGATTTCTAGCATTACGACCCACTTCTCCTCTCCACTTCCACCTTCTCTTCTCGTTGGTGGAGAAAAGCTCCCTCTTTTTTCAGTCTTGCCTTTTCCTGGCCTATTTTTTCTGTTCTTGGCTTGTTCTTGTTCATGTTCACAGTTTTCCTGTGGATGAAATGTGCTTTTGGGTTCTTTGTTCCTTGATGTAGAACCGGTGGCGCGGCATTTACAGAAATTGGATAGTGGAGGGGGTATTTAGAGTCAAGGTACTATCTTTTTACTGTTTTTTTAAATTTGATTTTGGTTATAGATCGATTTGATTTAATATTAAATTTAAAAGTTTTTGTTTTGATTGTTTGGGGCGATTTGTGATTGTAGATGAGTTTTTGTGCTGTTTCTTTCTTCTCATTCTCGTCTGTGGATTGACTTTTAACTTGGTTGTGATTCTAACTTTCTGGATTTTGTTTCTTTTTCTTTTTTTAGTGATTTTAGGAACTAATGAACTTCTTATTTTTGGCTAGGGTTTTGAAGGATGCAGGGTTTCTTTGTATTTTGTTATATAGTTCTGTCGCTTGATCTGGCATTTCATTTTCATGTTACTCTGTGCAATTATTATTTGATTGACAATATGTGCTTGATAATTCCTCTCCAACATTAGGATTTGACCTTTTGTTTGTTAGTCAATTTCCATGATTTTGTTTAATATCTACTAACAGGAAATCTGATTGTACTTCATATATATATGCATTTAAATGATCTTTTGAAAGGGTAGAAATTTGCCACTGGTACCCAAGGCATCTGAAATCTACAAGCCCTGCTTGATCATTTTAGTTTGGAACTTCAATCATTTGAAATTTATTACTGGTATTCTTCATGGTGTAGATATTAGATACGAGGCACTAGTCCCCTCTTCTTCATCTTTTGCTTATTTTTCTGAAGGATTAAAATTGGAACCTCGAACTTTCTCATGACAAATCACTGGAGATTTTACGTTCTAAAGCAACATTCACAAGAACATGTCAGTAGCTGAGTCTGGACAACTCATTTCATGTGTTCGCACACAATTATAGAGTATTGAGTTTCATCTGCTATTGATATAATTTGTGTTTTTACATTCTTTGGAACGATTGCAATTTTGTAAATTTGTTTTTATTTGCTTGATCTAATCGATTGTACCTGTATTTTGGAGGATGTTTCAACTACAATTGCAATTTTGAAACTAATTGCAATTTTGAAACTGGCCAATGCATCATGAGGCAGAATTTATCACATTAAAACCAGGATAACATTCTGTAATGTACTGGTTCCCATCTTTATACTAGATTCATTAGAATATTATCATATTACCATATTAGAATTATTATATTATTATTTCCACATATGCTCAATAATTATTAGTAATATATAGTATTTATTAGGAAAATATAGTATTTGTTATTTGGAATATATTCTTGTTATTTAGGAATGTTGCATCCTAGAATATTCGCGGCGATAGAGAGTGATATAATTTAGCATCTTAGCTTTGTACAAAGATCCAGCACACAAACATGTAAGAGAGTATGGTTATAACGTTCATAAGAGGCAACATAATTTTTATGTGGAAACTCCTGTAAATAAGAAAAGCCATGAGGTCTGACCCAATTTAAATGAATCCACTAGTGTTTGCAATTGATTACAAATGAGGACCTTTCTTAGGAGGAAGACATTGGCGTGATGTAGCAAATATACATAATATAGAGTGCATTATATGGTGGGAGTTGGAAGAATCAGTGTTGATATGTTCATTTAGTTGGCAAGACCATAGTCGGCGAGCGATGTAGGTTGGAAGGACCGTAGTCAGATGACAGTGGTTGGAAGGACCTTAGGCAAACGAAAGTGGTAGGAAGGACTATAATTGGGCAACGAAGGTTGGAAAAACTGTAGTCGGGCAACGAAGGTCGAAAAGATCGTAGTTAGGCGACGGTAGTCGGAAGGACTATAGTTGGAGATGGTAGTCCGAAGGACCATAATTGGCAGGCGACGGAGATTGGGAGGACCGTAGTTGGTAGATGATAGAGGTCGGAAAGACCGCAATCAAGCGATGGTGGTCAGAATGACCGTAGTCGACAGGCGATGGAGGTCAGAAGGACCGTAGTTGGAAATAGTGGTTGGAATGACCATAATTTATGGCGATAGAGGTTGTGAGGACTGTAATTGGTAGATAACAGAGGTCAGAAAGACCGTAGCCAAGCGACAGTAGTCGGAAGAATCGTAGTCGGGCGATGATTGTCAGAAGATCCTTAGTTGACGATGGCGGTTGGAAAGACCGTTGTCGGTAGGCGACGAAGGTCGAGACCTTCGTTGGCGGGCGATGGAGGTCTGGAGGACCGTAGTTTGTGGACGGTGGTCTGGAAGAATTCCGACGATGGTTGGCAAACGAGCGGAAGTCCAGTGGTGGTCAAAGAACAGGTGGAAGTCCGGCGGTGATTGGGAAGAACTCCGGCAGTGTTCAGTGGCAAGTAAGCTCCCAATTCTTCCTTTCTCTTCCCCCTTTCTTCCCTCCTTCCTTTTTCTTCCTTTCTTATGTGAAGAATCGGGGCTTATTTATAGATTTCTGGGAGTGGCATAGCTTGTAAATATGTAAAAGATCAAGTTCAAGTTGGGAGTGTTAGGATAGATGGCCGATATTGACTCCTTCGATCATAGACCATTGATCAAGCCTTTAGGTGCCTTAATGATGTCAGAATTGAGCGAACTTGAGCTTGTTGGACTCGTCTCGTCGAGCCGCTCGATTTGATCGTAAGCATGTCATATTCGGATATCATTTGGTAGCCCAATTAATGCTCTGAAGCTTTCAAATATACTTTGAACCTTTGATTTTGACCCCTTTGGGCTCGGATTGAATCAAATTTGATGTCGTTGGGTTCGTCTCCTTGAGATGTTCAATTTGACTATAAGTTTGCTGAAATTGGAGATCAAATGGTTCCGATTTTAATTTTGGAAGTTTATAATTCATATTTGCATCATGATTGGTGCCAGATTAAGACAATTTTTGGTGACATATCAAGGATATTCTCCTTTATTGTATTTTCGCTATTCTTTTTTTTCTTTTCCCTTTTTATAGACATATTTGTAATAACATCATAATCAATCAAGCAAATATGTAGCCATTTATATTTTTTATCATGGTATCAAAGCCTGCTCTAAGTCTTCGTTTTCTTATCCTGTCTTGACGATCATGTGATGATCCCATCTAATAAAGTCTCATCTTGATCTCGCTCGACGAACAACGATTCATCTTCATCTCCTATTATGAATATCCTATGAGGATCTCATGAAGATTGCGTGACTTGCGGATCTTGTAAAGATACCATGCGAATACTGACTCATGACAATTCTGTTAGCTTTTGCCCTGACAATGACTAGGTCAGCGCCCCGATCTGTTGGTTATTTTTAGTTTCCTTGAGAACATCACGTTCTAGTTTTGATCAGTAATTTTAGAAAGTTCTTAATTACTTCTCAATTCTTCTTGAATACTCAAACTCTCAATACTCCTTATTGTAGCACCATTTGTTAGTGTGTGTATGGGCAGAGAGGGGGAATGTTAGAATTATATGTTATGTATCCATATTAGAATGATTGTATTATCATCATAGTTTTATTGCATATGCTTAATATTTATTATGAAATTATAGTATTAATCTTTGGAATATATCCTCATTATTGAGGATATTCTCCTTTATTATATTTTCCTTATTACCCGTTTCTTGCCTTTTATGTAAGTCGATTTGTACCAGCATCATAATCATTTCTATAGTATTAGAATATTATGTAATCATATTAGGATTATTATATTAAAATAATGATATTATCATATATTCTTAATATTTATTAGTAATCTATAGTATTTGTTATTGGAATATATTCTTACTATTGAGGATGTTCTACTTTATTGTATTTTCCTGATTACTCTTTTCTCTTGATTTTATAGAAGTATATTTGTACTAGCATTGTAATCAATCAAGCAAAGATGTAATCTTTCATGTTTTCTTGTCACTTTTACATGCTACAAAATATATAGTTATGCTATTTCGCAACTAGTGCATCTTTTAGTGCTTTCAAATGTGTACTGGAGAGATATTTACTAAGTCTTTAACATTCTTTATTCAATTGCTATTTGGAATTTTCGTAGGAATGGGGACAAAAGTTCAGTTTAAAAGTTACATTCCTATACACAATGTGATGAGAAATAAAAATGAGCATTCAAGCAACAGCTGGTCCTGGTACTATCAGGATAATGCATTAAGTGGTCATCTCTATGATGGGTCATTGTTAAGAGAAGCAAATGGCTATTCACTGTGCGATAAAGAAATGCTAAAGCGCACGATGCTTGAACATGAAGCTACTTTTACAAAACAGGTATCAATTATCTGAGTTTTGATGTTCTATATAGCTCAATATGAACACATTTGAGTATTTTTGTCATCTTTTTCGCTTGTTCCTTTGGTTCTATAACTGCAGCTCAAATTACCGTGAAATTATTTTGTGCGGACGCCGAACGCAGTTTACGATCCGGAGATCAACCAGAATGCGTCACGTCAGCAGTACTGAGCTGGGTATCGAGAGATACCGAGCAGGGGGTGACGCGACGCATTCTGATTGGTCTCTGTACGGCGTTCGGCATCCGCATAGAATAATTTCACCAAATTACCATGCTTGTTATTTCAAAACCTTGATGAGCTTGTAAGATTTCTCTCATATTATGTTCCATGTATATAGAGGAAACTTTCTCTATTTTAAACTAGCATTTTTTAAAAAAAAAATTTTAAACAACATGTTTGCATGAGAGTATTAAATAATTAACATTCAAAATCTAGCACTTGGAATAACATATTCATATTTTTTTTTGAGCAATCAGTTTGATGATTTCATTGCACTGACTTTTTTCTTCATCTTGTTTTTTGAATTATTCAGGTATCTGAACTTCACCGACTTTATAGAATACAGAAGGAATTGATGAATGAGCTTAAAAATAGAGAAAAACTGAAACTCTGCAGTACATTTCAGACAAATTTATTTGCTTCCCACATGCTATCTGAAGCTACGGAGGAATTACAGCAGATGCCTTACGTTTCTGCACTAAGCAGCCATGGTACCACAGGCAGTGGTATGGAACTACCCTTAAAACATTTTAAAGAAAGTGGTACAAGATATTTTCAAATACCAGTAGAAACTGCAGGTCCTTCTATCGAGGGTAATTTTTATGACCCTAAAACCATAAAATTTCCCAGAAAGAATTTTGACCTCCACCTTCCAGCTGAAGTGTACATTGATATCGATGACGACCCTATAACAGATAAACAGAACAAGCCTTATCTCAAAGTTGCTAATCCATCAAGCATAACACATAATGCAGATGATGATAATAATGTGAGGTTGTCTCCCAGGAGCAAAGCTGATGGCAGTATAAATGGTAATTCGATGCAAAGTATACATCACAGTCTCGAAAATGTCTCACCAAGAGTGGTATTGGATGATCTCAATGAACCTTTAAAACCTTCGAGCTATGAGGAAGGAGGAGACTTCCATTTTTCCCAAGTTATTGGCTCATCAATGGAACATGAAGAGATTATGAAAGATCAGCTCCATTCAAACAAAAGTTCTTTGTGCAGGGATTTCTTCTTGGGAAACCCAAGGCGAAAACAGACAGCCTCTAACTCTGTAATATCAGATAAGGTGGAATGCCTCCAGGGGTGGCAATCATCTACCACTGCATCAGGTAAAACTTCCAACTATCAGTGATGATATTACTGGTTAACAGGTATTTTGTATAATTTAGATCTAGTATGGTTACAAGCTATATTTACATAGATTTGCACCTCTTCAGGTGGTAAATAGAATTGTTAAGGAATAGCAAGTCGTTCTTCTTCAGAAATTATGAAGTAGTTTTGTGTGAGATGCTATAGCTTACCAGTTTTAGAATTTATAAGTTCTTTTGTTGATGTTTTTATATTTAACAAAAGGTTTTAATTTTTTTTTTGTTTTCCAAAATCTTTATATAAGCAGTGAATGTTAATATTAGCTTAAAGTTAAGAACCGAAAACATGTTACTGTTTTTGGATTTTATTGAATTATGAAGTGTAAAACAATCATTTTATTATATTTAACTAATATTGCAGAGTACTGATTTCGTGAAACTACATGCCATGGTTCTTTCAAAAGAATATCAAGCCACCATAATCCTACTTGCCACTGTTAAAATGGCTCTTTTAAAATTTTCTTTCTCTTAATCTTCTTTTTAACTATGGGATGTGCATGGCATCTACTATGAGGATAGTTTGCATTTTGCTTCTTTTATTATAATTTTGTTCTTCAATTATTTTCAGTTTTTTTTAATTTTATATAAGTTATCTGAGATAGATTTTATTTGTTTTATATGTTTTTCTATTGCTATTTTTAAGTGTCATGTATGATAATTAAATAAAAAATCTTTGTTATATGCTGAATGGTACATCCTTCGAATGGAAAAAAAAAATTTAAAAAGGTGATTCCAAGAAAACTAGTGCCGTCCGAGCCCAAGTTTCTTAGTTGTGCCTTTATGGAACTGTCGATGCAAGTGCCCTTCCTTGGGGAGGTTAAGACTCGGGCGGCTTTCTTACTCCTTGAAGCAGCTTTTTAGTTAATTTTTTACTAAGCTGCTTTAAGATGAAGTAAGAAAGCCATGCAAATGAAGTCTAAATCAGCCTGGTGAATTCGTCTGCAACCTCAATGAACCCCAATGAGTCTGCCACCAGCCGCAAAAATTTGAAGAACCCCCTTCCTATCTATCAATGAACCCCAACAAAACTTCCAATACCATGTTTATTCCAAGCTAGCTGTTGGCTCCAGTTTAGAAATAAGTTCTCAATCAAGTTATTTATTCATTCAAATTCATTGAACTCTCTTATCTCTTGGCCGTGAAAAATAATAGATTTGAAAACTTAAAAGAGATATCCCCAGAGTTATCTTTCGCAGCAAATTCCCAAGTAAACACATCCTCAGGAGATCTATATCTTTTTCCCAGGGGATATTTCAAAAGTTGAAGATGTGGGAAACACAAAGCATATTCTACATTTGTAGATTGAGAGGGCACAACACATTCTTAGGGCATACAGGAAGCCAGTGTGCTACAATAGGAAGATGAATGACTGCAATGCACCTATGCATATCTAAGAACTTTTTTGTGTTGTGCTGTGTAATGCTAACTTTTTCTTACAACACTAATTTGCTATACGACAGAGAAATTATACGGCTGTGCATTAATCTTTATATTTCACGAAATAGCATTGCGATTTGCGGAGAATATGGAAGATATTCCATTTGTTAACCATCTTAATATTGTCATATCTTTTTATTATGATTTCCTCTGAACTCGGCTTCTTTCTATGTGATCAAGTTTTTATTTAGCAATGCCATGTTTAACAATGGGTTTTGGGTATCAGAATTCCATTTTGCTCTAATCTGGAGTGCTTGCACTTAAAACTTTTTATGAGACTTAGCTAGTTTTTAGATAAATAAACACAAAGTAAAGAGTATTAAGTCAACGCGAGGATCCAGTCAATTTTGCATGTTCTTTGGCACATTTCGGGAAGCCCATAAGGGGAATTCACACGAACTTCAATTCTCAAGTGTAGAAATGCACTTTAGCACAAACACTCCACGTAAGTAGATTTTGTTAGGTGGATATTATAACCATTGTCTAGTCAAGCAATCTCTAATTAAGTATTACAATCGAAAAGTAAAAGATTCAGCTATATTATTCGATTGCCAAATTTAGTGGATTTTATCTCAACAGATGAAAGAGTTTGGTATGAAAACTGATTACCTGTTTGCCAACTTTTTTACTTGGTCTTTGTCCTCAAAGGCTTTTGCATGACACATACACTGAAGATTGAAGAGAAATTTGTGCAGTCACCATGAGTGTAATTTGTGCCTTTCAGTCACCAACTCACTATCGGTTAACTTTGTGTTCCTTAATGCCACCATGTATGATCCTCACCGGCTCATATCTTTTGCAGGTAAAATTAGAAGCACGGCAAGTGGTTCTCATGGTGGATTATGTGATAAGGTGTTCTCAGTCATATCTCAACTTGTAGAGGAGAAACCAAATAATTGTGACGAGTATGATTTATCCAGGCGAAAAAAGAGTGATAAATGGATTGGAGAAACTCCAAGTCCTGATACTGAACCCTTTAAAAGTACTTCAAAGCTGCCCAACTTGAACAGTTCTGAGTTGCTTGTTTCTCAAGTTCTTCATCCATTAGCAAAATTTTCTCACTTGGATGATTCAAGTATTTCATCTGCATCATTTTCAGCTTGGAGAAATCTAAATGGTGTGAAACAAATACCAACTGCGGCTCAGCTACTTCCAAGTTTCAATGATTATGCAGTTAATAATTGTAGGAAAACTGATGCAACTTTTCAGAACCCATGCAATCCATGTGATAATGTACAATATGTTGATGGTAATTTGAAGAAGAGAGTCAAAGTGGACTTATCTTCCTGTCAGAATGATTTTCATCAGGATCTGAAATTAGATAGCATTTTTAATACACAGACATGCCTCCCACTAATTATTAGTGGAAAATCTAGCCAAACAAATTGCTTGGATAATGTAACCCTTGAGAACTACAATGTTCCTGCAGATCCAGAGTGTTCTGGTGTGAAACAATCATTGGTGCCTTCTTGGCTCAGAAAAACACAAGCTCCACCTGACTCTGCAGGTATAGAACAATCTGCCTCTCAGCTTATGAGCCTGATATCTGACCCTAATGTTGTGGCTCCATCAGTCAACGAGCAGAAGAATAACAAGAAAGTTTCTGCTTCCATCTGTACCCTTGTTGACGCATCTTCTTCCTTGCCTGTAATGGAAAGGAATGAAGCGTCTTGTAGCTTGAGCAGCAAGAGAATTTTGCAATTTGAAAGCATTCAACAAGGTGTCGAGTGTGACTTGAGCAGTGTAGACTCTCTTGCTAGCTTGCCTAAAGATAAGTTACCATCATCTCTCCCCACGGCAAATTTCTCTACTAAAATTTCACCCAAGATTGATCTGGAAAGACTATTAAATGCTGCTGAAGAAAAAAGCAAAAAGGTGAATTGCAATTTGATTACTGCCAATAAAGAAGCTGACCTCAAGCTAATAAATGGCAATCATGAGGTTCATATTAGAGAGGCAGCAGAAAATCTTGTTGCAATGTCATTACTAATCGATAATCATTCTCATGATATTACTTGTCCATCAATCCCAAATTCCTTTGATACTTTATATTGGTTTGCAAATTTTATTACATCAACAGAAGTGGGTACTGGAATCTCTGGAGAACAACCTTCGCATTTTGATGATGAGGTTGATGGCTTGGATTTGTTTGAATACATGACTCTGAAGTTGAAAGAAATTAAGGAAGATGAGTTTTTCCATAAACTGCAAGAAAATCAGAATTATGATGATACAAGCTCTGCTTTGATGCCTATAAGTAGATCTCAAAGGGGTCTGGCAAGGAAAAGGCGGCAACGAAGAGATTTTCAGAAGGATATATTACCAGGCCTCACATCATTGTCCAGGCATGAGATTTTTGAGGATCTTCAGAATTTTGAGGGTATAATGAGAGCTTCAGGAAAGTCATTTAAGGCTGGTTCATCAAAAAGGAGCACAAGCCATAAGGCATCAAAATGGCAATCCAAAGCAAGACAAAGGCTTAGAAGTTTAGCTATCACTGTTACTAAAGCGAAAGTTGGCTCATTACAAAACAAAGATGCAAATAATAAACAAGAGATTAGTACAACAGGTATATTGGGTTGGGGAAGGACAACAAGGAGGTGTCATAGGACGAGACTTTTGCCAGGTAATTTATCGGTTTCCTTAGCATGAATTCTTCACAATTAGATAATCTCGGTGGTCATGAATCATAATATATATAGAGAAAAAAAATGCAGGTGTGAATTTTCAGTGCATTGTAAATATTCTCATGTTTTCATTAAGGTTTTATTATGTGATTTTTAAGTAAACAAAATTTGTATATTTTTATAACAAAGTCAACATTTATCTTTTTTGTCAAATGGAAAATAGAATTGTTGACATTAAATCACTTGCAATATTATTTATTGATCATTTTTATAACAATGTCAACGAAATGATCTTTCTTTATTAGATTTAAACAAGAATTTAACTTTTAAAAATACATAATGGAAAAAAAGGATTCATGTAGCCGACCACATGTAGTGGGACGAAGGCTTGATATTGTTGTTGTTGTATTAGGATGATATGATTGGATGCCTGAGATTTCACTCGTTGTCTCGGTTACATCATTTCTTATTAGATTTTTTTAGAGTAGTGATTGCGTTGCCTTCACGGTAATCTGCAAAAGATAAACATGAATCATGGTACTTGGCTTTCTAGAGTGCTAAAGCTGCATATATCAACGTTAATTCATACCTTACATTGATAGGTAGCTTCATTTTATTAATGCTTTCTTTATATATATTTCATTGAATAAAGAGAGTCCTGGAAAAGTATTTCTTCTTTCATACTTCCATGAATTTGCTTCTAGTTTTACAAGCCGTGACAGAAGGGAGAGATTATTCTGTGCGGACACCGGATGGAGAGAATTGTCTAGTTTTCTCTTTGTCTACAGTAAAAGCGCTTTATATTGTAGACAGAGAAAAAATCAGGTGATTCTTTCTGTCCGGTGTCCGCACAGAATAAAAGTTGAATAGAAGGTCATGTTTAACTTAAATAGAATTTGTTACTTGCCATGCAAAATTCTTATAAAATTATTTTAGAGATTTGAATTGCTCACATTTTTTCACATTTTGTCATCATAATATATAAGATATATGAATTGATTTGGCTAAGTTAAAATAATCATATCACGATGTTTGTTTGGGAGCGCAAGAGTTAAGTATTGTAGAATGTTCACAGTAGCTCTGTAATTAGTCTTGGATCAATGAGCTTAGAGCCTGAGTGAAGAGTAATTGTTGATGAAAATGCAATTTGTGCATTAAAGTGTTGCACAATAGTGATGAGAAAAATGAGATAATAATGTCATTAATATAAACTATAAGATATATATGTGCATCAATAGTGATGAGAAAAATGAGAAATGCATTAGCCAGAGAGTTGGTGATATCATAAGCAACTAGAAATTGTCACAGCTCATGGTAGTAGAAATGAGTTGCTTTCTTAAGGCCATAAAAGCTTTTGCAAAGCTTGTACACATATATAGGATATCCCCTGTTGATGAAGCTTAGGAGTTGGATCATGAAGACGTTCCTTAGAGAGAGAGAGCCTTGGAGAAAGGCATTACTGGCATCCAACATATGCTTGACATAACCAAAATAGAGTCAAGGAGGTTGGTGCGAGTAGGTTGATTGTAAATGCATCAAGACTATTGATTTCAGTAGGTTGCGAAGAGGCGAGTTGTTATAAGCGATGTGATGGGTGTCTTAGGCTTCATTTAGGATGACTTTCTTTCTTCTTCTTAAAGCAGCCTTCTTGTACTAAAAAGCTACTTTGAAGTAGTAAGAAAGCCTTCCCAAACGAAGCCTAACTTGCTTCTGGTGAAGGGCGTGTCAATCCCATGCGGAGATACTGTTGTTTTACCGTGCTGTCATGGGATTGATGGAATGTGTTGTTGAGCGTAATGGCACAAAGGATAGGTTGTGCAATGGGAAGCTAACAGAGGACCCTATGGATGGGGTTATGGTTGTCAAAATTGGGTCATGGGTCGGGCAACTGACCTGCTTTTGCAAATGGGTCGATTTTCTGAACCCGAACCCGACTCGCTTCGGATATGGTTTAATAATTTTTTTTTATTTAATTCGATTTATTTAAATCAAAATTAAATTATGATAAGATTTACTTCAATCAATTTAAAATAAATCAAACTATTTTTTAGAAATATCATTTACTCATTTCATAACAATCTTTTAAAACTCTCCTCAATTAATTAAAAATGGGTCAAACCGGGTTGATATAGGATTTCTGGGTCAAACCGAACCTCATCTGGTTTTACAAACGGATTGAAATCCTTAACCCGAATCCGACCCGGTTCGGATTTGGGTTGGGTCAAATATTGACACCCCTAGATGGGGTGGCAAGAGAGAGGGATGGTGGCAACAGAAAGCTCATGGTACTTGAAATGAGTTGCTTCCTTAAGGCCAGTAAAGTTTTTGCATACACGTGACTTCTTTGATTTGCAACTTTCTGTAGTTTTGTTATTCTCAGGCTTGGAAGCCATGGCAATTATGAGGCCAGCCCCCCCTCACCCAAGTAAATTATTTCAGGGAATCAAATGTAATTGAATAATTTAGATAAAACTCCATTGTTTAATCTTTGTGTTAAAATGTTAATTAGCTTTAAAACATTTAAATTAAGGATAATAAATATTCTGATTCTGCACTGACACACAATTAACTTTTATATGGAGATTTCGAGAAATTCAGATGTTAGAATTAATAGTTATTACATGTAAATCATTATTTTTGTTGATAGAATTTCTAAGTTGTGATCATTAAAAAAAAAAGTAAATTATAGGGAGTTTTATGCAAATAACCCAGTATAATAGTAGGTTAGATAAACAATTACATATCAGAATTATTAGGTCCTGTTATATTTTATGGTAGACTATAGGATAGAAATGCAAATGTGAATTAACAAATATTTTGAAAAATAATATTGAATATTTTGCTTTTTTCCGGCATGCATCTTGATAAAAATCTAAAAAATTATCAAATTTTTAAATTTAAATCTAACAACTATTAAATTTGTACTTTTTACACTCATCATATTAAAAAAAGAACCTTAAAAATAGTTTTTTTGTTTTTCTTTCGGTATAAAAAATTGAGCCCAGATAATAATACAACTGAAATTTGATGCAATGTTTCAATTCAATTAAGTTTTGATTAAGTAGGAAGATTATTCTTTGATTTTAATCCATTATTTTTCATCATAATCAAAGTAATTTGATCATTAATCTATTTATTTCATTAGTTCATTGAATGAAAAAACTTTTAGATACCTTTTTTTTTGCTTAATTATTATTAGCTCGAATTATATTTTATTTGTAAATATTCTCTTTAATTACATAACATGAATTTAGTTGGTCCACTTTGATTTATGATAATTATTGTTACATATTTAATTCAATTAATGTATCATATTATATATTATGTTGACTCAATGTGAAAGATGTATGCCATTATTCAAATCTCTTATATATAAAACCTAAGGTTTGGGGTAAGCATATATAACCCAACCCAAAAATATTCAATACCAGCCTGACTCAAAAATATTGGGTTTAGATTGACCGACTTAATAAATGGGTTGGATTTTTTTTTTTTTTTAATCTTTTTCAACATCGGATCAAGTTCGGGTTAACCTATCAACATGAAATCTAACTACATATTTCATGTTATGTACATTTCAACATTCAAACGAGCTATTACATATTTTTTTTAATATAAATGGGTTAGCATGTCCGGTAGGTTTAAAAGGATTGCTGGCAGGTTCGATTCTGATCCAGAATTTTGATCCATTTATTAATGGCTAACTCATAGTGTTTTAAGGAATTTAATCTCATCAATTTATGTACTTGTTAATTCTTTTAAGTTTTTTTTTTTTTTTTTGAGAACGGGGTATCTACCCACTGCCACCTCCCGAAAGAGGCGCTTGGCGGCGTAACTAATCCTTCGGTGAGTCTACCAGCAACCAACCCCACAGGTGCAGGACCCACGGTTCTTTTCTCTCCACTTAAGGAGTCGTGCCGTATGAGAGGGGATTCAAACTTGATATGGGGGGTTCCCAACCAAGTACGCCCACCAACTCACCTAAGCCCGGTGGGGTTAATTCTTTTAAGTTAGGGAATAGATAAATTACTTGGAAGAAATTGTAGCCTATGACACCTAGTTTTTGTCTTGCTCCAACTTAATATACATGTCATACTAATTTCTTTTTTATTATTTGCATCTTCTTTTTATGATAAGCCAATTTTTACCTTAGTAATGGCGATGGCTAAACTTCTAAGCCTTCACTTTCCTCTTGCTTGGCTTATGATCCTATGTAAATTAAGGCTTCCCTGACTTTCTTGAAGCTCTTGTTATACCCTTAAAACTCTAAAGGCCCTAAAAAATCTCATGCCTTAACACAGATGTGAAGCTTGATAGTAAATTCTTTTAAAAATCTCTACATTGTTGCTTTTTCTTTGCCAGACGCCTTTAAAATCTAGGCATTGAAAGTGACACAATAAAAGTCATTATTATTCTGATTTTCTTACAATTTATAGAATAACTCATCTTCCTTTATGTTTTTTTTTTTTCCCCAATTATGGAGTAATAAATTGAAGCATATTCAAGCTATCAACATCATCATCACTAAACAAATTGATATTTTGAAAATAAATTTAAAAATAAAAATTTGAACTAATGTTTGAACCGGAGCGTTGCGGTGCTGAGCTTGTGAACACTACGATGTTGGGTTGATGAGTTTTCTTTTAAATACTGTGATTAATATTATTCTGTGCTGATTCACATGATTCACTGATTGAGAGTTGTAAATAGTTATTATTGTACTAACGTCAAAGAGTGATGATTGTTTACTAAGTTGACGATTACTGAATTACTAACTACTGGAAAAACATCATGCAAGTCAAAACTCATTGTATAGTGTGATTACTGGAATACGTGTTATTGCACATTGTTATTGCTTTGCCTCCAATGTACTCTTTATTATTCTACTAATTGTTGTTAGTGTTAATGTACTCTTTACTATTACTGCCATCAATTTTATGGATACTTATACCACTATTATTCAACATTATTGTTACTATTGCTATTATTGATTCATTGTTTACTGTCTCATTTTCACTGAGCGCGTGATTTATATTATTGAACATCTGATATAATATACTGATATATAATGGGTGAATATCATGTGTATACTCATATACGATTTTACTATATTGATATGATTCCAACAGTTTTTATAGATGCTTTTGTTTTACTGATTTATATGATTTTCTTATTGATTTGATAGTACTGCTATGACGAATGCTTTATCAATTCGACACCCATACTTATTTATTGAATAACTATTTTAAGATTTCACTTTTTCTGTAATGTACTATTTTATTGGACTATGTATTATACTATTGCATATATTTATTGTTGATGCATAGATTAATGATTATATTGACTTATATTTATATGAATTGACTGACATTATGCATACAGCTTATTTACCATATTTTGAGTCTGTTTTATTGGCATTAGCCAAATTACAATCTATAATGTCTTTCTCTACTTATGCATCCACAGTCCCTCCAAATCAATTATGGGTGCAATTTTTATAGAGATTTTTATTGTGGAGAGACATGACAATTGCTCTTCATTAGACTAGATTAGTAGAGACTTTAATGCATCCATAGAAACTTTTGTGCATAGTTTTCATAGTGACTTTGTTTCGTATATTCTTTTGTACTTATGAGTGAAAAAAAAGTATTTTATTTGTATGACTGATGGATATTATACATAATTTTTTTAGTAGGAATACAAATATACATTAATATTTTGATCAATGGATTTGTTCCCACTGATAGTTATAATATTGATAAGAAATATATATATGTATATATATATATATATATATCTTTGATTGTTGTTATTATTAAAAAATAAAAGAAATAATTCTTCCAAATTAAATAAAATTCGAACCCAAAATCTTTTGGTTGGTATTCAAAGCTTCCATCCAAAAGACAAAGATGAGCTAATACAAAAAAAAAAAAGAAAAAAATTACTCAATATCATTTTTCAAAAATATTTGTTAATTCACATTTGCTCTTCTATCATTACAAAATAATAATAATAATAATAGGGAAAATACAAAGTTGTTACCTAATAATTCTGATATGTAATTTGTAGTTATTTAAAAACTAATCAAAAACATAACTCGTTTTGATTTGTTAATTGGAATCTTAAGCTACCAATTAAGGCTTTGTTTATTTTTTGGTGCTTTTGTAAAAGACAGTTTTAAAAAATATTAGTTCAGAAAATGAAGTTTTTTAACGGATAAGTATATATAAAAAGCTTTCTAAAAATTGCAGAAAAATGAAAAAAAAAGAGTTATTTGAAACGTAATTTGATGAACCAAACAACACAAGAAAAAAATTCCTCCGAAAAAGACAAAAAAAGCTCAAACAAACAAAGCCTAAGAGGTCCGGAGCTAGAATCCATTACAAATAAAGCGTGGGTGAGCCTAATTTAAATGGCCTAAATGTCCAAAAAAAAAAAAAAAAAAAAAAAAGCAAGGTTTTTTTTTTAGTTATTTATTCATGTCTATCAGATCAGGAAATTTGAATCCTTCTACAATAAAAAGAAGCGGGAGCCAAACTATGGATCACCGCCGCCGAGTGCCGGAGTCGCCCTCTCCGCCGATCCCGGTCAAAATCCGTCACCATCACCACACCTCCCTCATTCGCCTCCTCCAGCGTCCAAAACATGTTCCACCACCGCCTGGCTGCCGGAGGAGATTCGAGGGAAATGCGGTAACTTCATCTCTCAGATCAGGGGCCGCCACGTCTATTCTAAATATTTCAGGTACGATTCCCTCAGCTACTCCCTTAACTTCGATTAGGGTGCGTATGATGAATCGCCGATGTACTCTGCCGGTGATATTCGATGCCGGAGTTTCTCTTCCCGCTTGCCGGCCTCTCCTCGATCCTCTCGTAAATTCTAGGGTGTTTAATATAGAAAACTGTTTTATAAAAAAATGTTAAATACTTATAAATTTGTGAAATTATTTGGCAACATAATTCAGATAATTCAGGATTTAAGGATTAAATCATTAAAATTTAAATTTAATTTACATTTTAAATTTAGGCTCTATTTGGAAGATTTTTTATTATTTTATTATCAGACTGTAGTTATAATTTTTATTTGATTATCATTTTTTTTATTTTTAAAAAACTTTGTATTATAAAGTTGATTTTTACGTAAACTTTCAAAAAAATTATTTTCTCTACAATAATTTTACAATAATCTTCTTAAAATTTTGAAATTATCTTAAGGACCCTTAGTTTATAATTTAAATATGAATTATTTCGTAATTATAATTTTCATTATCATCAATAAGCTACAATTATAAATAATATTATTAAAAACTAGTTCAATTATCAAATAACTTAAATAATAATTCAATTATGAATTATCTAATTATTTATTTAATTGTTATTTTAATAAGTATTCGATTACATTAGTATTTATCTTATTAATTATTTAATTAGTTATTTAGGTATTATTTTAAGAAAATTAATTAATAATTATACTATTAATTATTTAAGTGTTATACTCAGATAGCCTTAGGCTTGTCTAAAGTTTCCCTACTTGTGTGAGGTAGAGTTTTAAATGACTTGCTAAAAGTTTTTCACCTCCTTCAATAGGAAAAATATTCTGCGCGGACACCGAACGATATCCAGAGACTAATAAAAATGCATCACGTCACCCTTTTACTATACCGTGGCTTGGTACGGCTCAGTACTCGATACCGATACCGACGCTCGGTACCATGGCATCCAGACGTAAAGTTACATCCAACGTTCGCACAAAATAATTTCTCCATTCGACGACATTCTTCTTGTTGGATTGGAAGAAATGACGAGAGCTCGATAGCTACGCAGGTAATCATCTTTCTCCCCTTTCGTGCGCTTTTTCGGCCAAATCCCTGAGCTGTAGGTTTTTGTAAATCTGGAATTGACGGCAAAAAAAAAAAAAGGTTAAGATGTCCTTCTTTTAGCGCTTGACAGAATTTAGTTTAAGCCCTACTTAAATGCTGATACCAAAGAACCTCTTAGGGTTTCATGGATTCGTGTTGATTTGATATGAATTATGGAAAGAAATTTGTATAAATTATATCTTGTACATCAGTAATCTAAATGATAAATTTTCTGTTGACAATAATACAGAGATATATCAAAATTTGAAGACCTGAAGCACTGACAAAAAAAAAAACAAAATTTTGAAAAAACTAGGCCTAGGCCTGAACTAATCCTTGATTACGATTCTTTTTCTTGGCTTTAGATATCTTTTCTGTAGCATCTACTGTTCCCTCTTCACTATCTTTCCTGCTTTCAATCCTCGCAAAAACTGGCTTTGGCTCAGCCATAACTGAACCTGCTTTAAGACCACCCCATCTTGTATCGCTCTGAAACAATGCGTTTAAAATTTAAATATCAGATCAAAATGAAATCGCTAAGCAAAATCTGACTGAGTTAGCTACAAATTCTCACAAGAGATTATACCCAAGTTGTTGCTTCAAACTCATCTTTTGAAAATCCAAGCTGTGCGTATATTCTCCAGCACAGGCTTGGAGCAACTGGAGATAAAGCCACTGCTATAATCCTCATGGCTTCCAGTATAAGAACAAGGTCCTGTCATGAAGAAAATATATATTTCTTTTCTAGATTGAAGAAAAAACAAGTAAAAATTAGTTTTTTTTTTCTAGATTTAAAACTACACAAGTTGCATTTATCACCTTAGAAGCAGTTTCATAGCTAGAACCTCCTTGTTTAAAAAGGGACCAGGGAGCACGTTCATCCATGTAAATGTTGCCAGCATTTCCGATTTCTAATACAGACTCACAAGCTGATGATAATGAAAGATTCTCATAATGGATCTTGGCCTTATTCACCTACAAAAGCAAGCAATTAACATAAAAAATCTCTCTCCTGGAGCATAAAGTACTCTATTAGCCACCAAAAATCCAAATTTTATGACAATTATTGGAAAATACTGGTAAGCTTAACTAAATTTTCTACTGTATCCTTGAACTTATTTCCTTCAGCTGCAGTAGTTGAATTGATAGCCAAGGTGGATTGACAATTTTTCTTCAGGAGTCCAAGTGTGCGATTCAGAAGATTTCCTGTGCAAATCAGCTAAAATCAGGTCAGACCAAATGAAGATCTTATGTTTATTAAAAACTAACAACACTAAAAGATAGAAAACTAATTAAAAGCTGTTCATTTCAGAACTACACATACCAATTGTATTAGCTAGATGTGCATTGTTTATGTTGATAAAGCGTTCTTCTGAGAAATCTCCATCATTGCCAAACTCAATTTCCCTCAAGAGGAAGTATCTCACAGCATCTGACCCAAATCTGTCAACCAGATCTTTTGGCTCGAGTGTATTTCCCAATGTTTTACCCATCTTCATACCATCCTAAATTTTTCAAACAAGGATTTGAGGAATATTTGCATAGTTAAGACAAAAAGGAACACAATGTAATCAGTATACTGTGGCTTACAAAACATGATCAGCAAACAGAGTTTCCAATAAACTAAAAAAGAAACTTAGCACCTTATCTTTCATTATACAATATTCTCAAAACATTCTTGAAAAATAAAGCACATGCAGCTGCAAGCATGAAAAGGGCTAAGGTGAGGATGTTTAGAATTTAACATATTCATGGAGCATTGATACCTTTGTCAAGAAACCATGACCAAAGACCATTTTTGGAGGACTTATTCCGGCAGACATTAGCATTGCTGGCCAATAAACTGCATGAAACCGCAAAATATCCTGCAGAAACCAAATAAAAGAATTAGCAAGTATGAGAAATATCAAATTCAGCCCACCTATTCTCTTCTTCTCATTCCCTCCTACCTCCATATTCCTTATCCATCCCCCTTCTCAGTATAGGCTCGGTGGCGTATTCCCTCCTCTCCTACAATTTCCACCTCTGTCTCACCTTAGCATATCATTTTCCTGATTCCCTCTTGCTTATGGAAGAGCTGCTTTAGTTTGAAACTCCAATATCCACAACATCATCTCATCTAGATTCCCAAATCGTTCTTCCATCACTAAAAACGCTCATTCAATGATCCCACATTCATTCACAGCTGCCCTACTCCCTCCTCCCTCCTCTAACTTTTCTTCCAATGCCTCAACTCTTCTCCCAACCATCAGTCCCAAAAACTTGCTCTAATACCAATTTGATATATTTGGAGATCAAATCAATACCCAAAACAACCACTAGAGCAAAATCAGCACCAAAAAGTTGAAAAAACAGCCACCAAAATTAAGAGAATAGCAAAGGTATGCATGAACAACACTTATAAAGTTGAAATAATAATCTTTAATCAAAGAAACACAAGATACAATTGATTCACTATTTGAGAGGTGAATTAACTCTCCCGCAATTTCCTAATAGCAACTAGGAACCCAAAATCACCTAAGAAAAATTATTTTAAAAAAATTCTTCACATAATACCTCCCAAATACAAACTTTCCCCCTTAAAATTAGCCATACTCCCACCATAAATGCACCTCACATTTCATCCAATGATCTTGATGTGAATCAATGTAGGAATTGCGTTCGGAAATAAAACAACATGATAACATCAAAAATATAAACTCCCGATCGTAGCCGTCGATCTACGATTCCTTCGCCGATAAACCTGCCTAAAATGTCTGTCGATGACCTCATCAGATCTCCTCTTAAACATTTTCCTCCTATAGGTCTGAATTAAGGTGCTGAAACCCACAAAACAAGAGCCTTTTGATTCTTGAAAGAAGGTGGGGTCCACAGCTGTATCAGTTAAGTATTGTAGAGATGAGGTTGCTCAAGTAGATGAGTGGCTTTACTCTTAAGAGACAGGATACGAAACGAGCATATACATGAAAAAGTAGAAGTTGCTCCAGTGGAAGATAAGATTAGAGAGAGTTGTCTTAGATGGTTTGGTCATATAAAACATAGGCCTTTTGATGACTTAGTTAGGAGAGTAGATGCATTAGGTTTGGCTTATGTTAAGAAAGGTAGAAATAAACCTAAAAAGATTTGGTTAGAAAATAATAGAAATGATCTTTTTTGTAAGATTTAAATAAGGATTTGACTCTTAAATTAACACAATGGGGAAAAAAAGATTCATGTAGCCAATCCTACGTAGTGGGATAAAGGCTTGATATTGTCATTGTTGTTGTTTTATTTAAAAATGCATATTTGGTCACATAAAACTTCAGCCTTTTTATGACCCTATTAGCATAGTAGATGTATTAGATATGACCTACATTATGAAAGGTAGAGATAGACTTAAAAAGGCTTGGTTAGAAAGTATTAAAAATAATATTTACTTATTAGATTTAAATGAGAATTTGACTCTTAATAGAACACAATGGAAAAAAAATGATTCATGTAACTGATCCCATGTTGTGGAGTAAAGGCTTGTTATTGTATTTAAAAATGCATCCCTTTTATTCAATAACATTATTTACATCTTCACATACATTCCTTAAAAAAAAAAAAAAAACCTTCACATACATTCCTTTCGGCTTAATATACATTTTTTATAAGTTGATTCCATTAAATCTATTTATTTATCAAGACAATTTTAAACATTCGTAAAACTTCCATGTTAATTATTTTAAATTCATTTAGTGTAGAAAACTAAAAGAGATTAGATAGTTAAGACATATGTAGGCCTTCCAATGACTTGGTTAGGAGAATAGATGTATTAGATTTGACCTAAGTTAAGAAAGGTAGAGATAGACCTAAAAAGACTAGAAAATATTAGAAATGACCTTTTTATTAAATTTAAATGAAAATTTGACTCTTAACATGACACAATGGAGAAAAATTATTCATGTAGCCAACCCCATATAGTGGGATAAAGGCTTGATGTTGTTGTTGTTGTGCAAAAAACTGTGTAATAGGAAAGACATAATTCATAAGGATAGCATGCTTAAGAGAGACAAATTTGATCCGATGCACATAATTCTAACCAACTTCAATTCAAGCGATAATGAGAAGAAGGAAATAGAATGCATATCAATCAAGTGGAAGCCTCGTACCTTTCCTATCAAATGTAATGAAGCAGGCCACCCGGCACCAACAGCTTTTTCTAGACTCGGCTGTACATCTTTATCTAGTAATGCTGAAACATAACTGCATGGAAAGAAAACAAAGAAAGATTCATACATTAAATTTCCATAGTAGCGACATTAGATTGACAAAATGAATGAACTGAAGGGAAAAAAAAACATAAGCATTCATGCTAGATTTTGAGCAAGCAAAATTATTCAAATTCTAAGCCAAGGGAACTGAAAAAGTAAAATCCAGGGATCTCAGACATTTGAGTACACCTCACAAAAGAAGAAGTACACATGGGCTTGTAGATAGTAGTGCTGCGCTTAAAAAAATTGAACGGTCAACTATTTAAGCAAACTAGCTTTGATGATTATGAAGCTTTATGTTTGAAGTTGTGTTAGCTAAATACGTCAGTCGTTTGATTTAGAAATGAAAACTTGAAAGATGTGTTATGGGCCAAACTATTATGGCAAGTCCGATGCCAAATGAGTCCCAGAACTAAAACCAAGTAGCTGATCTAAGTTTGGTTCTGCAGAACTATAAAGATTGCAATCAGGCCTAACCAAATTCAGACTAACTCTTACTGGAAGGATTGGCAAATAAGGCTTCGTTTGGGACGCTTTCTTACCGCTTCTTTAAGTAATTTTTTAGTAAAAATTAAAATTTTTGTACTAGAAAGCTACTTTAAGAGCAGTAAGAAAGCCATCTCAAACAAAATCTAAGTCTTCACACAAAACAGACCCCCAATACTTGGGATAAGCCTTATAAAGCAACCCACGATGACGATGATAGCTACTGCACCAGCTGATAACTGCAAATTTCTAAACATGGAAATCATTGATGGAAATAGGAAGAGTCTCAAAAAGAGTTCAGCAGTTGGAGCTTCTATACTCCTTTGCAGGAACAAAGGAAACAAGCACGTAAACAAGAGACTAAGCATTATCCGTACATTCTACAAAATATTGATGGTAGCCTTGGAACATATAGAAGATCGAAGGCCTTCCAAATACAAGATGAGAAAACTGTCAGTTGATCAACCCTTCTCCACTAGTCAGACAAGATAGTAAAATAAATTTGGAACTATCGTAAAGAAAAAAAAAGTCCCAACTAACTAATTTGGGCGGATACTGCAAGTAAAAAAGTAAGCAAATAAGAGAATGAAAGAAGAATAGCTTCACAAAGCTAACTCAACTAATAAAAAAAAGCATTCTTATATGGATCCGAGTATTCAGAGACAAATAAATCCCTGATAGCCAAGTTGATTTGGCATAAATAAAAATGAAAAGATAGTTGTAAGGTGAACTTAAATTGAATAAAATTAAACAACAAATTAATATATAACATAAAATGTGATGATAACACCTACTTGAAGATAATGTTGTGAAAAAAATTCAGTAGAGAGGAATATACAATTGGGGTTGTAAGATGCACTAATAAGCCATTAGATAAAATTAATATGAGTTGAATAGTAACGGGTCAACAAAGAAAACCTACAAATGCAAAAAGTTTTGCCTATATAAAGTCACCTCATGTAGCCCTCAATATGCATGAATGGGGAAGGAAGATTCATAAAGTTGTCCCAACATACTTAGAATATGGGTTATAATGGTAAGGATGTAGAGATGATAAAGCTGATACTGATGATGTTCTCAGTGCAAGACCAATCAAGTTATAGCATCATTAACACTTATGATATCAATACTTGAACGAGGATCTTACCCTAATAAAGCATCAAACCAAACATAGATTGTTTGCTTATCATCAGTTGGCACAGGTATTCCCCATTCAACCGAAGAACGTGATATCGAAAAATCTCGCAAGCCACTGATTATCCAGCCTTGCACCTGACATAGGATAAGATTCAACGACTAGAGACAAAACCAACAACAAAAAAAAAAAAAAAAACCACCAATGGATGCCAAGAAAAAGGACATAATAAAGCAACCTAAATAATCCTTGTGTCAAAAACATGAAATTCTTGCAATAAGCAATGCAAAGTGAGTCGTGGAATCTAATTTTTGCCATTTGAAGAAAATGCACTACATAGATTTGATAACAATAACTAATATATGAGGTTATTTAATTAAGGATATTTTAAAATTTTTCTTAGATCTTTTGTTGTCCAATATTTTTTCTTTATAAAGAGGGGGATGTCATCTTATGTATGAGAGAAATTAATGTTGTAATTTTCCATAATCAATAGAGAGCTACGTAGCCAAGGCTATAGGACGCAACCATCAATTGAATGAACCTATAAAAAATTATCATATTTTATGTGTTGGACTTCATTTCTATTTTCTAATTTTTACACTATGTATTTGAATAGAGTTTTCCTATTTTCCAACACAAAAGATGTTATAATTTAAAATAAAGTAAAAGCCTGAAATAGTCCCCGACTATTAATAAGTGATCAATTTAGTCTCTGCCTTTAATGATGAGTTGATGATCCAAAATAGTCCTCCGACTATTAGAAAATATTCAATTTGATCCCAATACCAAAAGTAATAGTTAAATTAACCCTAATGGTTACATGTGAGGACATTTTGAATATTATGATGTATGTAAGATTATAATATTTTTTATATTTTTATCATTTATATATAAAAATAAATACAAAATTCATAATAAAAGTTAAGCAATTAAATAACAAGAGTGAATAATTAATAAAAGATAGATCATACAGAATTTCATAACCTTTGTTATAAAAAGTGTCATCATTGATTACAAAGCTTCAAAATACTTTTACAAAAATGGCATCATTAACTACAAAACTCAAAATATCATGTTACAAAAGAAAGAGCCTCCTAATGATGTCCTTTAAAATATGAAAATGCAAGGTAATACAAAAAAACTTCATTGTGTATGGTATCCTCCAAGCTTACCGATGTTCTTTCTTTTGGATGTATGGACTAACTAACAAACACAATGCCAAATTAGTAGTTACAAAATTGAATTGCATGTGTTTATAAAATTTTGCTTGCACAAATAGCCCTTTGTTTGACAATCCTTGTGTGCACACACTCAATATTGGTCATGTTCGTGAGCTACAATATCAATCTAGATATGTCGATTGAATCGAAGAAACGTAATAAAGTAAAATTATATGTTATTTCATTTGCCTATCTTTTAAATCAATGGTGAATGTGCAATATATTCATTTACTAATTCATTCCTATTGTTTAAATTTTATTCTTGAAGATGCAAGCCATCCTATGATATTGCATTATATTATAGGTTATTATCTACTTGAAGTGTTTGAGTAAGAAGGGTTTCTTTTATTTTTTCCTTTTTATTATCACAACTTCTAGTACAATGGAGGGCTACAATTGACCTACATAAGATTTTTCTTTGTGAATTATCTTCTTGCTCATGTGGACCTCTTCTTCACAGCTTTGGTGGACAGCCCCTCCTACTTAGGTTTCTTGTATTTATGTGGTAATTGATATGACCAAGTACTTCTAGGTTGTTCTTCACATTAATAGGCATAATGTTGAACTCATAAGTTATCCTATGATTATCCACAATGTAAAAGTTGTGAACAAAATCCTCATGATGTTCTCTCATATTGATTGCGGTACACGCATGGAGACAAGACAATCCATTTAATTCCAAAATTTATGTACACCAATTTTCGAGCCTTGATCATAGCTTTCCTTGGTTATAACTTTGACACATGCAACTTGAAAATGCTTATGGCACATTAGGATGAGGAGAGGAGGGGGGAGTGGATGAATTGATATTTTAAAAAATCTTTTACTTAAGATCAAAATGAGATATCTGAAAACATTTACAAGAATAAAATATTTAAACCAAAATCAATAGTAAATATTTTTTTTTTACTTTTAGAAAACAAATATATTTTTATTTTTTTCCTTTTTTATTTCAAAACAAAATTTTAACCATAAATTTTATCACTCAAATATTTCATAAAGATAACAAAAAATAAACTGCAAGAAAGTAAAGAATACACAAACTAAATTTATAGTGGTTTGGTCAAAATCAACTTACATACACTCCCCAAAGGTCCTTCTCTTTAGGTATTGCACTAAAGTGACTCTCCTTTAATTCACAGCTAGGTGGAGATTCTCCCTTACCAAGTGAAGAATGGCATTTACAGAGTCCAAAAGAATCTGCTTCCTCCCACCTCTTGGCCTGGCGGAGATGTCATCTCTCCTTTAGCTCTTCGCTTCGGCGGAGATGTCGATCCCTCCTTTAGCTCCCGCTCCCTCCTTCAACTCTCCGCTACGGCGGAGATGCTGCTCTCTCCTTTAGCTCCTTGCTACGACGGAGATGTTGTCGCTCATTCAGCTCCTCACTACGGTGGAGATGTCATCCCTCCTTCCGCCTTCAGGCTAGGTGGAAACGCCATCCCTACTTCCGCCTTCCACCCCAACAGATATGTCATTCCTCCTTTAGCTCCTCGCTACAGCAGAGATGTCTGTACCTCCTTCCACCTCTCGGCATGACGGAGATGTCATCCTTAGCTTTCTCGTCTAGCAAGCTTTTCGGGCAAAGACTTTTCTTCCAATAACTCTTCTCCAAGAGCTCCATCAAACACAACAGAAGGACCCAAGGTGCAAGCTAACCGAAGCAACCGTGTGAATTCCCTCATGCCCCTTGACTCCCTCGAGGCAAACTCTCCCTCAACTTCACGTCCTCTCTCTCCCTTGTGATATAGGCACTCCAAAACTCTCTCTCAAAAGAAAATGTCTCTAACTACTCAACCCATGACCTCCAAAAAGTTTCTCATGAAAAACTAAAATAGGCTATTTAAATTAAAATATTAATTCTTAAATTAATTGCTTTAATCGTATAGTACGATAGAATGATCGTATAGTATGACTAGTTCAGTTGTCAACTTTATTCATCTTGTACAATGTACAATCATACAGTACAATTAGTTATATCGAGTCACAGATCATCCAGCAAACTCTCTATTTGATCGTCCTGTACATGGCGATCGTACAGTACGATCATTAATTAAGATATGATCCTGATTTGATTCCTTAATTCTCGGTATTAAATTAGACAATTTTAATTAATATTCATACAGTACGAAATGGTTTGTAGAAATAGTTTCTAGAAATAAAGGCGAGGTTTCTAGAAATAGTTGGTCGTCATGTACAATTTGATAGTTATACATTACGATTAGTTATAACTCAATTTAATTAATATGACTTCATTAAACATTTAATTAAATTTAATTTAAACAAACTGTACAGTACGATTTACAAAAAAAATTCAAGTGTTCAATTTCTCTCCCTCTTGTGAGTGTGTGCCTGGTTGCTTAGCCAAAAACACCTTGTACATAAAATAACTAAAAAAATAAAAATTACAAACTCTATCAAACACAAACTCACTTGTACCCTAACGCTATACTATCTTGAGTTTTGATTCTTCAATTATGTTTGGTATATGTTGCAGTTAAAATTAGGGGTGTCAAAATGGATATTCAGGTCGAACCGGAATTGACCCAGGTCCAAACGGGTTGACATTAACCCAACCTGGTTTTGTAAATGGCTCAAAACTTTAGACCTGGACCCGACCCGCTGGGTTACCAGCTAACCCGGGATTTTTTAGTCGAGTGAGGACGTGTGACCGCGTGCAGGTGAAGGGATCACGAGCAAGCGACCTAGGGTGCGGGAGCGAGCGTGAATCCAGCCATTCAAGTGTGGATGCGAGCATGAGACTACGGGAGGGCAAGCGCGGCCAACATCCTACTCGGTCACTAGCGCTGGAGAGCTATCGCGAGCATGGGAGTAGGAGGTCGAGGTGGGAATCTGGGTCAATTCAGGTCACCTTCGTGTTTCTAGGTCACCACGAACCTGAGCCAATTTTAAAAAATAGGTCAAAATCTCAAATCCGAGCCCGACCCATATGGCAAACGGGTTGACCCGAACCCAAAATTTTTTTGGGTCGGGTTTCAAGTCTGGTAAAATATTAACACTCCAACTTAAAATGGTTAGTGACACACAAGAAAATATACAATGTATAAAACAGGAATAGGTAAATAATCATTCAATAATATTTGTAATCATCAAAATATACGATTAAGCCCCGGATTGCAACACAACTTCAATTTATTCATAATATCTCTTATGAAAAGTTTTGTCTTGTAATGTGGATTAATTCTAACTTTATTCACAAATTTCTTGGTTATAATTGTTGATGTTAATGTTTTGTTATGATAGCTCCATGAACATGTATGCTCTTCCAATGATCTCACCTGTCATGAATGACTTCTTTCATGCTTTGATATGTAGAGTAAAGGACAGTTAGGTCTCCTGTAAATAACTCGCATCATCTTTTATCATTTTTTTAAAATTTTATTGCTTTTCCACTAGCAATTGACCAGTTATGGTCTACCTTTTTAAATTCTTCCTTGCTATTGAATAATATTTCCACTTCAAACATATGCTTCTCACAATCAAAATTTAAATTGACAGCTAGCTATCTAGTGTGATCATCCTCATCACCACAACAAATACTAATGTCAATATTGGAATCCATACAATCAATTTCATAATTATTTCTATTCATTTTTTTATTAAAATTTTTATTTTGAACTCCAATCTTCTCCTTTCCCTTCTTTATATTGCCTGCAAATTCAATAGAATGATTTATACTATTTTCAAATAACTCATCATTCTCATACATCTCATAATCACCGTTTATAAACTACTATCTATCATCTAATAAGTTATAGTCATTGTCCTCATCCTCTTCATCATTATGGTAACTGGCTAACAGCTCCTCTCATATGCTTCTACATTCTTATCATCAACATATTAGAAATTAATAACAGTAGGTCCACACAAAACAATTGAAAGTTGTAAGATTGTTAAAACATCAAGTCAACAGAAAAGTACTACACAGTACATAATTTCTTGTTTGATTGCTAAAACACATATAAATATTGAACAATTTAATCATAAATAAACTCACCTACAAGTTTCAAGTATGGAAAACAAAATAAGTGTCCATGCTTATCAATAAAAAAACTCACATTAAAAAAATTTATATTGATTGTCAATGACATTTGTCATCAATCATTCTCAATGACTTCAATTGTGTAACACCCCATAATATCCCTACCAGTAATGCAGATTGTCACAGAGAAATACATTCAAAATTCTCAACATATAATGCTTCTAAGCATTTCCATATGAATCTATATACTCCAACTACAGTACCACATATGTTCTGAATAAACGGAAGCATCTAAATAGTCTCAATTGCATCACACAAGTAATTACAGATTCACTAATAAAATCCAAATATAGTAACACAATTTTGGCAGGTTACATATCTCACAAGAAGACTCATAAACATTGCTAAACATTAAAACCTAAATATTTATTAACCTAAGCCTAATCTGCTTCAACATTTTTCCTTACATTTCTTTATAATAACAGTCAGTATAAAACTTGTGAGCTATAAAGCTCATAAAATTATGCAATTTAAATAAATAATTAAATACAAGATTATAAAAAATAACATAATTAAAATCATAACTGAATCAAATCATAAATATTTATAAAATAATATAAAATCATATTTAGGATCATCTTTTAATTCATTTGAAGCCTGTACAAAATATCACTATTAGTCTTCTAAGGATATGTCTATTATTTTTCATATAGTTAGTTTTTATAAGAATGTTCAATGGTGTTCAGGTAAACCTGACATCATTGTCATTGAAGTACGTAGAGGCCACTTTTGCCTCTTTCTTGGTCCATTTTGCCCCACATGCAATGCAGGTTCATATATGGAGTCCTTTTTGCCCCACCTGCAATGCATGTATCATATCATCTCATAGTCAACCTTTCCTAATTTGATATTTATTAGGCTTCAAAATTAAGAACTTATACTTATTTTGTCATGCTTCATGCTTTCATATAAAAATTCAATCTATTATATCACTTGCATAAAATAATATGTATGCAATATAACATACAGTGTAATGAGTTCTTTCAAAAATATTACCCACTAGGAAAACTTTTTGAAAATCTATTGAAAAACTAATTTCCTAATATAGAATTTTTTTTAAAGCAACGAGAACATAGTAGTCAAACAAAACTGTGGTAGTAGTCTGAAAAGCAATGCAATAAAAAAAATTGTCCCAAACAAACCCTTAAATATGGAAGCTAAATAGCTATCTAAATCAAAATTAATTTGTAGCTTCAATAGTCAAGACTCAAGGTAATTCATGGCTAGAAGTTATAAACAAAAAAAATGCAAAATTACAAGCAGACATCTGATCCGCAGGTTGATATGCAAATTTCCTCTAGAGGAAGCCATGCACAAGTAGGAGATGGTGACATTTGTATGGAATGTGCTGAGACTCCCTCTACGGAAAAAGATGATAAATATGCAACTCTAAGGAACAAGATGATAAAATATAAAAGAGGAAATAGCTTTTAATAAGGTCTAGGAATTAACCATGAATACTGACAAAATTAAGCTAAATGCACTACTTTTAAAAACATAGGGAATAAGACCAGACAAAAATCAACAAATAAAATGACATACGACGCTCTAAAATTCTTACCTCATTCAACCGAAATGCTGGCTTCACAAAGTCTGGATTACTTTTAAAGTATTCTTCCAACATTTTTTGATACTTAGACAAGGCAAAAAAATAATTATCCTCTTTGCGCAGGGCACACGGCTTTAAGTGCATCGGGCAACAATTATTTGCAAGCAACTCTTTCTCATCCTACATTATTTCACAGAGGAATATTAAAAATATATATAATTTGTTGAGAAGAGTGGTGATATCAGTAGAATTTTAATGCCATGTTATAGAAAAAAAACTATTTATGTGAAACATGGCACTATTTTAACCTAAAGTGGATAATTACATCAGATAAGTTCAGAAAGATTGTTGTGCAATAAAATCATGCATACAATAATTAGTGATAGAGCCAAAAAAGATGAAGCTTTACCTTGTATTCCTCACAGTTGATACAATAGAGCCCCTCATAGTCAGCCCTATATATGTCACCATTGTTAAACACTCTTGAATAGAATTCCTCCACAATGCCTTCATGTATCGGATCAGTTGTGCGAATGAACTTATCATAGGCTATGTCTAGCTGTGGTTAACTAAGAAAATATGATAATCCTTTCACATGTATTTTATGCACTGAAGATTTAAAGGTAAAGTGGAACTTACATCTTTCCAGAGAATTCTATAGGCATCTGAAACCGTATCGCAGTGCTCTCTTGGGCTTCTGCCATTGGTCTCTGCAGCAGTGGCAATTTTCTCTCCATGCTCATCTGTTCCAGTGATGAATATTACTTTCTTCCCAAGTAACCTCTGGTGCAAGAGAATAGGAGAAAAGGATTCTTTGATGCTACCAAATTTAATAGAAAAAGGCAAGTTATGTTACTATGAAGCAGCATGCGAATAAATGATATTACTGGCCTGCTAAAAAGTTCAATATTCATGTTGTCAGGGTGCTAAATGTATTACAAAATCAGTAATCATTAGCACCAGATGCAACAGACAAAATTCTATGATGGGACAATGATAGGAAATACTTGAGTTCGAAAGTAATCCTATCGGATTTACTTGAGTTCGCAAGCAACCCTAGCAATAATTGGTTCAAAACAGCAAGAAAAACAAGAAAAATTGGACAAATCAATTTAGAAAAGATATATTACGATTTGCGATAGTGGAAACAAAGCGAATCAAAACTCAAAGCAAGATACAATTGATCCTCAATTCGAGAGGAGGATCGTCTCTCCCAAATCTCTAGACAAGAGAGTCTAGAGCCCAAGTCGCCAAGAAACCCTAATTCCAATCAATCAAAACATAATCCCTCATAATCCTCTCTTGCTCTTTAATATAAAAGTTTTCTGTTACGCGTGAACCGGCCCAGGAGGGGCCGGCTGGACCCGGTTCAGCCCGGGTCTACATCAGGCGGGGGCGGAAACGCCCAGAGGAGGGGGCGGACAAGGTGGACCCCACTTGGGGCTGATTTAATTATGTGGGAGGGAAAATTTTGAATGCAAAGGGCTGTTTAGGTAATTTGTAGGAATCCTTTATTGTTAATTAGGAGGATTAGGAAGGAGAGGGGATCATCTTGAATTGGAATCATTTTTGAGATCTAGGGTTTGTGTTCTTGGGCTCTAGGCTACGGCTAGAGATTTGGAAAGTTTTTCCTTCCTCTCGAATTGAAGGAAAGTTGTATCTTGCAAGTGCTTTTCATCCCTTATTAGAATAAAAGTGTTTGCTTTGTTTTTCTTACGTTTTCTCCTTCGTATTCTCTCCGATTCCACTGTTTTTGGCTGTTTTACTGTGTGGACAGCAGTTTTCATCCTATATCTATTGGGTTTTGGTGAGAAACACTTAGAAATCCAAGTGTTTCCTATCAAATTGGTATCAGAGCCGCGATTCGGGGCCACCGGCGGCTGAAATTCTGAAATTTCAGCAAGTTCCTCGTCTCCGGAAGAAGTTTTCTGTGGATCCGTTGGAAGAACAATGGCCGGAAAGAAGGTGGATGTCTTGGAAGGTGAAGTCGGTCAATTAAAAATCGATTTGGAGGAAAGATTTTTTGATTTTCAAAATCAAATCACCACCAACAACGAAAGGTTGGAGGGAAAATTCACGGCCATGGAAGAAATGATGAAGAAATTATTGGAGATGAAAGTTAGTACGGGGTTATCGATGTAATGTTTCAAATTTGCGCTATATTTATGGGGCATACAACGCTTAAAAATCTATAAATAAGCCTCACTTTTTACATGAAGGGAGTAGCAAGCTTAGGTCTGGGGGGGGGGGGGCTAAATTAAATACTACAGGAAAATCACACATTACCGGCAGAATTTTCCGGTGATTTTCAGATGGTTAATTTTCCAGAGGTCAATTTTATGGCAGTTTGTCATCTCATCTTGAATATCATAATACATTAAAATAGTTCCATTTTCCGTCTCAATATTGGAGCTCAGAGGAGTTGTAAGATCAAAATTAAGAATGCAAATAACATGACAAGAGAGGAGCAAAAAGGAAAAGGAAAGTTGTGCTCGAGATTGTGAGTTGCGAGAGATGAGCAAAGGGGAAAACGAAGCAGACATTTTGGGTCGAGGGAAAGCAAGCCATTTGGAAGTAGTCTCCATTTGGGCCTGTGATATGATATTGTTGCTAAAGTGAAATTTTTTATAAGAAAGTTATTGTAAAAATTAGTAAGAAAACTATTCTGAACAAAGCCTAAAGCATATTCTTGCATGTTAAATTATGAAATTTTTAGGTCTTATTATTTATAAAAATAATGTTAATTTTTTATGTAAATTAATCCTCCACATTTAAATTTACTTTAAAATGAGTGCAAAACATAAAAAATTCAATTAAAATGTATATTACACATATCTTAAAATAAATACAATACTTTTAAGATTCATTTTGACAAAAAAAATTTGATCAACAAATTCGATAAATATTTTTGTATGAATATACTACATGTAATAAAAGTGGTGACTAAATAATTATACCTAAATCTATTCCTTTTCTCAAAAAAAAAAAAAAGAAAAAAAACTTTAAGCTCTTGTCACATGCAGCCAAATTTTTTTTTTTTTTTGGTGGGGGGGTACGTGCCCCCCTCCCTCCGCCCATGGGCTTAAATCCTTAGCTTGACATTTAATAGAACTCATAGGCTTAAAGAATCTTAGAGCTCCAACCAAACACTCTCATTGAATTATTGTATGATCACCATCATCAAATCAACACCTAATCATTGTCATTGGACTACCGCCTTATCACCATTATTTTAACTACCATTGTAATATAAATTACATCTTATCATCGTGGTTGGAACATCATAGTTTACCCTCTGCTATATGATTAAAGTCATCGAACCATTACATGACCGTCATTATTGAACCACCTCATGATCATAGTTAGTAGACTTATTGCATGACTATTGTTCTATCACCATAGTCTCTCAATTATAATCTCCTGATAACTATCGCTTAACTACAATCCTCCGACTACTATCATTTGACTTTGGTCCTTCGACTATTCTTGCCCAATTATAATTCTTAATCACTATCATTTGAGTACAATCATCCAACTACTATCATCTAACTACAATATTCTGACTAATGTCAACCAATTATAGTCATTTAATCTTTGTCGCCCGACTATGATCATTTGACCTCCATAGCCCAACTATAGTCCCCCATCCATCATATCTCAATTATGATTATCTAACCACCATCATCCTACTATAACCTTTTGAACACAATAGTCAAAATATGATTTATTGGCAACCTTCAACCAACTATGACCGTTGAATACTATTGTTTGGTTATGATTTTATGACTATCATTGTTCAATTACAATCCCTTGACTACTATCTCCTAACTATGATCATCCAAACATCACTACTCAGCTATGTTCTTGCAACTACAATCATCTTATTATGATTCTTCAATCATTGTTACTCAATTATAACCTTTTGGCAATTATCACAATGCTAAACTAATGCCAACTCAATGCCATCTATCGCTATAAAAAGGTTGATTCATGTCATATTGTTATTGAAGCCATCTTTGACTCTCGATATCAGCAACATGACTTATGTTGGATTTATTACTCTTTGATCCCCCTCAAACGAGAACGTTCAAATAAATAAAAAACAGTCTCTCGAGAAAAGCTCCTATGTCAAAATTCATTATATATATATATATATATTATATTTTATCAACACATTTGAAATCATAAATTATAACTAATGATATTAGTATAAATCATTTCAACTATTAAACCCCATATTTTTCTCTTTTTGGATTATTGTATATAAAAATATTAGTTTAATTTATAGCTCTCTTATTATTTATGTTCATGTTCATTTTTTACATAAAATTATGACTTTAGGCTCTCTCATATTATCACAACAAACATGGCAACAAATATGATGAATTATCGTCTATTATCTATAAGTACTATTACTTGCAGTAAACCAGTCCTGTCAGAATAGTCTGGACTCCATAGGAGTGGAACGCCCGGAAGCAATGGTGGTTTCAGAGTCTTCAGACCCGCCATCGCCCTCTCGAGCTCACCGGGGAGGGGAACAAGAAGAGAGGCTTCGGCCACGGTTCTTCGACGCCAAGGCCAAGGCCCGTTGCTGGGAATTTGCTGAAGTTGTACCAGGCCGCCACCCTGAAAGGTGGCGACGCGACCCGGCGGGCAACGTCGTCTGCAAGCGCTTTTATAACTGTCAGGGCTGTCTCTGTTTCGAATACGATCACATCATCCCCTATTCCAAAGGTTTTTTAAACGTTCTTTCTGTTCCCCGCATGCTCTGGTTGTAGACTAGGGTTTCGATTGCGGCTTATGTTCATGTATAGATTGGCTTTCCCTGTAGGCGGTGAGTCCATTGCAGAGAATTGCCAGATTCTTCAGACGAGGGTGAATAGGTACAAGTCAGATAAGGAGTGGGTGGATAAAAAAGAACTTGAGGGTTTCTCTTGTGACATCAAGTTTACCGGTATGCATCTCCGTTCTCTCTTTCTTCTTCCTTCCCCTTCAGCTTAATATTCTTTATCTTCTTCTCGGTACAGTAACAATGTTTCCATCCTAAGGAATGGGTATAGAAATGAAAAGTTTGAACCAAATGTAGGGAATGAGTCTGCGTTATTAGTTCGCCGGTATAATAAAGATTCCTATTTAATCAAACAAATATTTTGATGGATGTGTGGACCTCAAAACTCAACACCAAAATACCATTTAGGCCTTTGTTCAACTGTTGTTGCCTAGAGAGTGTTTGAGCTTGCGGCTGATTTCAATTCGCCCAAGGCCAATCAATTGGGGATACTTAACCTGAAGAAGAACTAACGTCGCTGGAAACATCCCAATTCATTCACCCAACTTGTCAAGGCTACTCGCTCAAGCTTCAAGGCTATTGCCCAATGTACTTAGCTTCATTGCTGACAAGGTAAAATTGCCCTAGCTATTGTTATGCAATAAACACAGAGGAAACAATAAATCACACAACAAAATAATCAAAGAACACGGTGATTTATGTGGTTCAACAAAGATGTACTACGCCCATGTCGAGGGGATGATGATTTCACTATATTAAAGAACAATAGGATTACAATTGGCTCTCAAGCTCTGTCTTCTTCTCATACATACAACAACAACCTATAGGTCCTATTTATAGATTTGAAATAAGATCTAATAAATAAAATATAATTAATGCAAAGATTTAATCATGTCAATTAGATCTCTCAATCAGTGCACTAATTAAATCCAATCAAATCTTTTCTAACTAATGCATCAATTAAAAATCTAATCAAATTCTCAATCAAATCTCCAATCTAATCAACTAATTAGGAAAACAATTATCTCCCTAATCAATTACATAAATTTTCCATTAAAGTTTTCCAAAATAAAGCTTTAATCAGATTTGGTAATAATTCCAAATCATAGCTATCTGGTATAGCTAGCTACTAGAACTCGACCAACCTTGGTGAAGTTAGGCAAAGACTTCATGTGAATCTATTCCTTATTGAAAATCTCCATGTAAATTCAATGTATTCAAATAGGTGCATGTTGATATTCATTTTTTATGGGTGTTTCTCAAGCCTTGTTATTTAATGCTAAATTGTAGTTTTTATTATATCATTGTGCTTCGATCCTAGCCTATGAGTAGGATTTCATAAAGTGATCTAAGGACGTCTAATTATCAACATCAGTCCTGTGTTTTCTGACCATATAGTAAAATCTTATGGATTCTCTTTGTTGATTTTCTTTCTCTCCTTTCTATTCTCTTGTTACTTAGGGATTGCTTAGTTGATAGTGTTTTGAGCATTTAAAATGGAGGTGTTTAGGTTTTTAAGTCTGTCTATTGGCGGTAAATACCAAAATTGCCCAAATTGGGTGTATTCAGAATATATTGCATGTGAACTCTTGCGCATTTGACATATCATACAACACGACCATTGGTAATCTCTACGTCTGTGCCCATGTTGACTCCGCTTTTGCCTTTGCTTATGCACCTTGCACAGTACCTCGTGCCTCTGCCTCTACAACTTTTACTCACGTTGAGTACACTTGCAAATGCGACCTACACATTTTGATATTGTCAACCAACCGATTTAATCCGCTATCGTTAGTAATCACCAAGCCAGTGTCATGCCATAATTGAAAAGTTAATAAAAAATGATTTACTTTATGATGATCTAAATACAAAAAAGTGATTCACTGGATTTATTTTACAACTAACAAAACACCAAAAAATTATTTCAAATGGATTGAGTTTACTTTACATTGTATTTGAAACTTAAATGAATTATAAATAATTGTAACAAAACAACCTTTTAGCCATTATTGTCTATAAGATTTTGGCATTTCCATGGATGAATTTCAATCCAACAAATACCATCCAAAGAACTAAGCCTATAAGACTCTGTATTTTTTGTTGAAATCTTACAAGACCAGGCACAATTGTTTCCTTCAGGCTTAAGTTGCAATTCCACTTTTATTGAAGTCATTGCAACATAAAGACCTATTTCACACCCACCCGCTTGCACCATAGCTATCATAGCCTCAAAGACCTTATTTTAACCTCGTTTGTGTCATAATCATCTACTTCAATTTACGAAACAATCTCATTTGTGCTTCATGACTGAGATCAACATCTTGTTTGTACCGTAATTATTTCCTCAAAGTTTTTTTCACAACCTTGCTTGCACCATAGTTATTGTTGCTTTCAATCCGACACCTCAACCTTTTTTGTACCCCAGTTGTGTCCTTTGAAACTGCGTTACAGCTTCAGTTGCACAACACTATTTTTTTATGACTTGTATTGCATTCCCACTTTTGTTGCACTTATTGTCGCATTGGAACTTATGCAACAACTTTGATGTGTTGGAATCATCCCCTTCTTAAGTTATTCATCATAGCGATATTGTCATATAATTTGCACTACAATTGTCTTCATGGAGACCTATGCCATAGCTATCATTAGCACAGCTGAAATCACAATCATCTTTAGTTAGTGTTGCACTACGACCATATTCGGCAATGTTGCCCAACTATTGCATTCATCTGTAATGTTCACAATTAATTTATGTGGAAACCTACCTTGACATCTTTCGCTTTGTAGTCTCTAATTGTTTATGTGTTATCTTGTGCTAAATTCTCTCCCATCACTTGGAGGTGAATAATTTTTGTACTTATTTTCTATAATTGTAGGCATTACTTTGTTGGGTTTTGCCACTTGATTTTTTCCTCTAATTATTTGTCATGCAAAAATCTCATATTGCGCTCTTTTCTTTATTTGAATGGTTTTGTTTGATATCTGAAATAGCAGAAAATGATTAAGATCTCTCTACTGACTCAATTTCTTACACGCTGCAACCTGTAAAAACTATGCTGAGAAGTTGAGTCCAAGGGAAAATGATTAAGATCTCTCTACTGACTCAATTTCTTACACGCTGCAACCTGTAAAAACTATGCTGAGAAGTTGAGTCCAAGGCAATACTACCCCTTGCAACAGTTTTTCAAAAAGTAGACGACATATTGATATTTGTCCTTTCTATATTGCTGACTTAAATTGATGGCCATGATGCGCACAAATTATCATTATAAACCATAACTTTGTATACTGTAGATATAGTCCTAGAGGTGCAGTTTCTGCCTCTAAGTTTCAAGTTGACGTGTCACTCCATCCATGGAAGAACCTTAATTTTTTTATTTGATAATTTTATGTTTTCAATTGCAAAAATGTGTATTCTCTGCATTAAAATTTCAGAATTTTTGAGCTTCTTATGAGGTGGACCTTGGGACTTGAACTTGATTTTTATGCTAGTAGGTTTTTTCCTTTATACTAGACTACTAGTAATTCATGTAACAGTTTCACTAACTCAACCTAGGGCTTTTGATAGTGTTTGGAGAAGCATGTATAGCCATTAGCAACCTTGTATAAATGGCACCTTTGTCTCCCATTTTTGCAACTAAACCTCTGCACATCCCACCTAAACCAATACATCCACTCAAGTGGCTAAGTGTTTTCATATGCTTCCATCTATCAATATGATAATTTTTACTCTAATGGCTTTGCGATTTCCTGCAACAAAAGAGGTTTTCAAAAGATCTCTAAGTAACATTCTGTTAAGCCGGCATTGGAGCCGGCTGGACCGGTCCACCCTGGACCGGTCCAGGTCTTCACCCGACGGACAAATTTAGTTAGAATGTGATTCCTAATTATTAGATTTGCTTTGAGATGAGTGTCATACTGTCATACATGATTAATCAATCAATTCTTATATTAGATTTATCTTAAAATAAATTCAATGATTAGAAATCCAGTCTCTACCAAATTTGGTTAAGGATTTCTTCACTTAAAATTTCTCCTGAATTAGATAATCAATCTTCATTTGATGGGTGATGATGTATCTAAATATGATTGATTCAATTGAGATAGGTGATAACATATCAGGTAATGGGAAATAATTGTTTTACAATATTCTAACACAAATTATATCATAATGGACTTGAAAATTATTAATTTGCTTTGAGATTGCAATATAAACTCTTCATATGCAGCATTATATCAAATATAACAATTTTCAAATCCCTCTAGAATCTAGATATAATTTGTATCAGAGTATCCTAACATGATTTCTATTCTTACATAATTGCATTCCACATCATTTTCTTATGATGCTAGGCTTGAAAATGTTCCTTCGAGCAAACAAACTTTTGATCTGCTATCCCTCTGACCTTCCATCTCAGTTTATAGCATGATAGCTTGCTGATGGTCTTTTTGTAGATAAGGAACTGGATATAATTGAGATGGCTGTTTATGGGGACGTCATCCGTCCAGGAAATGAGTGTCGCTGCCGAACCGTTGCAGAAATGCTGGGCAAGGTTAAATCCAAAAGGCCTGTGGCTGCTTGCAAGTTGCCATATGCAGAAGGTTCTTGATTCTTTTCTTATTCGTATTTGATTTTGTATTGAATTATATAAACTATTTCTTCTTATTTCATTCAAAATCATACTAAGGGACATTTAGTATGGGTTTAAGATCAGTCATATCAGGCACAAATTTTGTTCAAGGTGGAACTAAGCTATTATTATAAAGGGGTTTGGGTAGCCTTAGGGCATCTCCAACCGAAAATCCTATTTTTCACTCTAAAATGTAGTGAAACTCAAAAATGCCGTGATTAATCTCCAATCGAACTCCATTTTGTACGCTTCTGCGAAGGTAACCATCTCGTCCTCTTACCCGCATTTCTTCGGCAAATCCGATTGAAACAGAAAAATCGCGTAGGTGAACAGTGCCACACCAATATTGGCGTCGCACTGTTCACCCTCCACCGATTAGTGATTTTTTCATCATTCGAATGGAGCAAATCAGTTACCCCTTACTTTTGTTTGAAGTTTTGCTGGAGACGTCCTTAGCTAAAATGAGTTTGCCCTTAAACTCTCTGTACAGAGTTCAAGAGATCTCACATTAAGCAGGAGTCGTTCTCAATTAGTGATTTCAATGATGATACTGTGAAATACGACATGAACCAGATAAAGCTATTTGCCAAATTTGAGTGTTATATATTTATATCTGTATAATGTGTGACTATGAATTCTTCATTTTTTTTTTGTTTTTCATCCTTCAGAAATTATTGAAAAATGTGAATATTTTTTTCAAAGTATAAATTATTTAGTAAAAAGATTAAATTAATTTGTGTACTAAGAAGTAGTAAGAAAGTCGTTCCAGACAAATTGATATTTGATATCCAAATCAGTTAAACTTGTCTAGCATCTATAGCCTTCTCTCATTGTTATTAATTTAAGGTTGAAGTTTTTTTTTTTAAAAAGCAATAATTCTCTATATGAATGTGGTTGAGACTTGAGATAGATTTTTATTACTTTATTTTACAATAATCATACTTTTATTTTCTTATTATGATTTTTGTTGTTTTAAAAGATTATGTTATGCGAAATAATTTTTCCTTATTAAATTTGGTAGAATATGGTAGATAATTGGCTATAAGCAATTATTATTTGACCTTTTCTTTGAAGGTAAAAGTATATAATATCTATAATAAATAAATAAAATTAGTTTTGTTTAATCAATTTCATAAATAAAAAATTTATAATAGCTGCATCCATCCCAAACATGTCATAATTGGATCGAAGCTTATCATTTTTTAAATAAGTGATGCGTAAACCTAGATTCAAAAAAAGAGAAATCCAATTTAACGGGATGAAAAAATAGAAAAAATTAAGTTAAGATGTGCTTTAAATATCTTGAAATTATTTTATGATCACTACAATGTATGAATAATCAATAGATTTTTATAATAAACTCATTTCAAATAAATTCATAGATTTTAAAAGTCTTAACCATCAAAATTTTTATACCACCACATGGCGTTGGTTACATGAACCTTTTTTCTTCATTGTGTGCAGTTAAGAGTCAAATTATTAATTAGATCTAATAAAAAAATGTCATTTCTAATATTTTCTCTAATATTTTATAATAAAGCCTTTTTAGGTCTACCTGTGCATTTTTTAACCTATGTTAAATTTAATACATCAACTCTCATAATCTGGTCATCGAAAGACTACTATTTTATGTGACCAAACTATCTAAGACTACTCTCTCTAATCTTATCTGCCACTGAAGCTACGTCTATGTATGCTCGTTTCGTATCTTGTCTCTAAGAATAAAGCCACTTATCCACCTAAGCATCCTCATCTCTGCAAAACTTAACACCACGCCTTATCCATCAATCATTTAAAAACTACTATGATGAACTTATATTCTAAATTTTGCTGTGCTTACATTGGTTTGCAATTTGCATCATTGTTAATGAAGAACAAATTAAGTCATGCAAGCATGTAGCTCATTCAATCTCGCATATTTACGCCCATGTTTTTGAAAAAAATTAGATCAAAATAGTAAAACTTATAGATTGCTAGTTTGAATTATAGCTAGCTGAAGATCAAGAAGAAATGATTATATAGATATATATGGGCAAAAGCTTATCTTAAAAATAATGAATTGATCGATGTTAAATTGATTTTTCGCTCGAATCAAATATAAGATGACCACATCTAAATTTAAAATTTTGACTCAACTCAAAATTAAAATGAAAAATTATAAGTCAAAATCAAATTAGCTTTAGATATAACAACAACAACAACAACAATAAGTCTTTATCCCACAATGTGGGATCGACTAAATGAATCATTTTTCTCCATTGTGTTTTGTTAAGAGTCAAATTCTTATTTAAATATAATAAAGAAATATCATTTCTAATATTTTCTAACCTATTCTTTTTAGGTCTACATCTACCTTTCTTAACATAAGTAAAATCTAATAAATCTATTTTACTACCGGGTCATCGAAAATCCACCGTTTTATGTGATCAAACCATCTAAAATGACTCTATCTAATCTTATCTTCCACTTAAACATACATGAATCTTTCATCAATTTAGCTTTAGATGAAAGTAAAAAAAAAAAAAGACACTTAGGGCTCACCCTAATTATTAGGTTCATGAAAAGGTCCAAAAAAGTGAACATCTTCCTATCAATTTCACCCAACTTTTTGACACATCCCCTAATTCCCCACCATTTGTCATCTCTCAAGCTGTTCAACCATCCCTCTCCTCAACAACTCCCATATCAAATGAACCAACCAAAAAAAGTCTCCATGCACAAATACTAATCTTCAGAGTACCACCTTTTCAATTCAGTTTCTCCGGTTGTTCTTTTTTTTTTTTTCAAAACACAACGGCTATATTTTTTTTCCCCATCAGGGAAATGAAAGAGAGATTCCCCGAGGGCCTTCCCGCGAGAATCTCGCAGAAGCGGCATTACTCCTAAAAGCTTCTGCTCCGTTCATCTCCCATTAATTTCGCGAAGATTTCGATACCATCAAAAGCCTAGAATAGGATATAAAGTTCTCGCCTTTCTTTGCTTTTTTTGGGATTTGTCCCCGTGTTCCACCGCGGACATCTTGCTGTCTTCTCCGCCTTTATCCCCTCTCGGTTCCTCCCAATCCCCAACTCGTTGGATAATCCGGTGCTGCCAATCCCCGGCCGGCGATCCGGCGGCGATGGGCTGCTCGTCGTCGAAGAATGTCGTGTCGGTGACGCCCGTGCTGGATTCGTCAGGCATTCTCAGGGATAACAGAAGATCGGAGGCAGTTTCGGAGATATCGTCGAGGGAGAGGCCAAAGGAGGATGAGGCGGAGGATAAAGAGAAGATCGAGGAGCCGAAGGTAACGGTGAAAGCGGTCGTGGAAAGCCCTAAAGCGGTTGTCGTCAGAGTGGAGAACCTTCACAAGCACATCGAAGGGGAACAAGCCGCCGCGGGATGGCCGAGATGGCTCACAGCCGTAGCTGGTGAGGCAATTCATGGATGGGTGCCCCTCAAAGCTGAAAACTTTGAGAAACTGGATAAGGTAATGATGGACGAATCACGTAGAAAGATGAATAATTCATGGCTAATTACCAGCTTTGTGAATCCTTTTTGCTAAGTACATTTGAGAAGGATAAGCTAATAATGGAGGAATTAGGCAAAAGGATGGACAATTCAGGGTTAATTACCAGCTTTGTTTAATCTTATTTGGCTTGTTATGATCAATAGTGGTTAGTTTTTTGAAGGGATGTTAATCCTTTTTTTGTGTGTGTGTAAATTAGAAGGATTTGCTCAATGATTGAATTTGGAACGTCTTATTTCATTTGAAATATATATATATATTTTTTATATATGATTTTGTTGTTGGCTACAGCAAATTAGTTAGTGCTCGCCCAACAGCACCTTCTGCCAGATCTATTCTAACAACTTCGCTCTCACGTTTTGCTGAAATCAATCACCTTTTTTGCATTCAGTGGAAAGACTCAAATCATAATAATATATTGCTCATATCATGAAATGATTAATTTTGTTGCTAATGAATTAAGGCTTACCAGATGCAGACCAGCAACTGCAGAACAAACCGGAACAGAGGGATAAAATGCACCAAGGAAAAAAAAAGACCTTCTCAGGAATTTGAACAAACACCTAGTATTCAACTTAAAGATACAAGAATGCTACTCATGTCTTGGTTTTAGTGATGATACACAATCTACAAACTAACTACAGATTTCAGAATGTATGTATACATGTTTAGAAAGAAAACAAAGCCACGAAAATCACTACACAAGAAACTCAAGAACAAAAAAAAAAAACTAAAATAGGCCAAAAAAACAGCAAGAGAATCAAATAAAAAAGGTTCACTAATTTAACAAGTTTCATGACTCTAACAAGCTCAAATGCTACATGCTTCATCAATAGGATAAATCTAGTGAGATTATTTAGTGAAAAGAAGGATGCAGCTTTATCTCTACACCAGCATGTTTTCTTTCTTCTTTTTGTTTTTAGTTTATTTAAATTCTACACTTGATCTGTTATGTTAAACAACTAAGCTTTCCTTTCCATATCTTTTACTGATGGATTTTATTCTCTAATTGAATCTGAAGATAGGGCAAGGCACTTACAGCAGTGTGTTTAGAGCAAGGGATCTTGAAAATGGAAAAGTTGTTGCCCTGAAGAAGGTGAGATTTGACAATTTTGAGCCAGAAAGTGTCAAGTTCATGGCACGAGAAATAGAGATACTTCGTCGGCTCGACCATCCAAATGTTATGAAACTGGAAGGTTTGATCACCTCTCAGTTATCTTGTAGCTTATATCTGGTGTTTGAATATATGGAACATGATCTTTCTGGATTATCATCATCACCAGATGTGAAATTCACCGAATCACAGGTTAGTAGTGATCATGAAATGTCAAATATTTTTGAACTGACTGGTGATCTAATAGAAACTTTCAATGAAAAATGGCAATCTGTGCGTGCAGGTGAAGTGTTATATGAAACAATTGCTATCTGGCCTTGAACATTGTCATTCGCGAGGAATCATCCATCGAGATATTAAGGGTGCAAACCTCTTAGTTAACAATGATGGAATCTTAAAAATTGCTGATTTTGGTCTGGCAAACTTCATGCCACCTGAAAATAAGCAACCGCTAACTAGTCGTGTTGTAACACTATGGTACCGTCCACCTGAGCTTCTGTTGGGCTCCGTCGATTATGGAGCATCAGTAGACATGTGGAGTGTTGGTTGTGTATTTGCAGAGATGTTCTTCAAGAAGCCCATTTTGCAAGGAAGAACTGAGGTAATTAGCTCAGTCCAAAAGTTATCACTTCAAAATTTCTTTTCTCCTCTTAGTGTTGGCTTACATGTTTCCCATTCTAGCTGCTATTATGAGCACTCTCTTTGATAACTGTTAGATGTTCATGGTTCTACTTTCTTTCTGCTTGATGGTAGCTGCCATTCTGTTCTTAGGTTGAGCAACTGCACAAAATCTTTAAACTATGTGGTTCCCCATCAGATGAATACTGGAAGAATTCCAAGTTACCTCATGAAATAATTTTCAAGCCCCATCGTCCTTATGAGGGTCACCTGCATGAGACTTTCAGAAATTTGCCACAATCTGTCTACAAATTATTAGAAAGATTTCTATCTATAGAACCTCGAAGGCGTGGAAGTGCTGAGTCTGCTCTGGCATCTGAGGTATGAATCAGTTTTGGCCTTTCGTCCATGTATAATGTCAGCTATAATTTTTCAAGAATCTTCATATATCAACTCCCTTAACTGCTACTGTCATTTCATTTTCTTTTGTACTTATTGTTAGACTTAATACTTTATTTCTTGTCATTTCCACAGTATTTCTCAGCAATGCCTCTTTCGTGTGAACCATCAAGTTTGCCAAAATACCCACCTACCAAAGAAATTGATGCAAAAATCCAAGAGGATGCTAACAGGTTTGATTTGAACATTTGCTTCAAATGCATCATAGCTATTCTTTCCAACGATTTAACTAATCTAATGAGAAGTACATCATTTAGGCATTAAATTTGTACTATTATGTTTGGTTATAGATTAAATCCTTTGATATGAAAGAAGTGTTAATACAACAACAACAACAACATCAAACCTTTGTCCTATTATGTGGGGTCGGCTACATGAATCTTTTTTCTCCCTTGTGTCATGTTAAAAGTCGAATTCTCGTTTAAATCTAATAAAGGAAGATCATTTCTAATATTTTCTAACCAAGTCTTTTTAGGTCTACCTCTATCTTTCTTAATAAAAGTCAAATCTAATACCTCTACTTTCCTAACCGGGTCATCGGAAGGCCGACGTTTTATGTGACAAAATCATCTAAGGCGACTACTCTCTCTAATCTTATCTTCCACTGGAGCTACTTCAACCTTCTCACGTATATGCTCATTTCGTATCCTGTCTCTAAGGGTAAATCCACTCATCCATCTGAGCATCCTCATCTCTGCCACACTTAATTTAGTATTATGCTTCTCTTTTAATGGCCAACATTCTCCACCATAAAGAATTGCAGGTCTCACCACCATCATATAGAATTTTCCCTTAAGTTTGAGGGGGAGTTTTTTATCGCACAAGAAGCCCGATGCATTCCTCCACTTCAACCATCCAACTTGAATTCTACTGATAATATCCCCATCTATTTCACAATCACTTTGAACAATAGATTTAAGATATCTAAAACATGTACTCTTATTAATGACTTGATCGCCCAAAGTCACAATCCCCCCACTAGGTTTATTACTACTAAAATTACACTTCATATATTCAATTTTAGATCTACTCAAGCGAAAACATTTAGACTCTAAGGTTAACCTCCATAATTCAAATTTACCTTCAACTCCCTCTCTAGTCTTATCAACAAGAAGAATATTATCAGCAAAAAGCATACACCAGGTTGCATCTTCTTGCAAATGTCTAGTGAGAACATCCATGACTAAATCAAAAAGATAGAGGCTTAAGGTTGATCCTTGATGTAATCCAACCAAAATAGGAAAATACTTGATCAAACCACCTTGTGTTTGAACACAAGTTATAGCTCCTACATACATATCTTTAATGATTTGAATATAAGTATTATTAACTCATTTCTTTTCAAGAATTCTCCATAGCACTTCTCTTGAAACTTTATCATATGCTTTCTTTAAATCAATAAATATCATATGTAGATCATCCTTATTCTCTTTATATTTTTCCATCAAACCTCTCAATAAATGTATGACTTCCATAGTAGACCTATCCGGCATGAATCCAAATTGATTTTGAGAAACATTAGTATCACGCCGCAACCTACGTTCCATAACTCGCTCTCCCATAGTTTTAAAGTATATCACATTAACTTAATTGCTCTATAATTTGCACAATTCAAACTAAAAATGTTTTGATGGAGGATAGTCCGACATATCAAATATCATAAGAGAACAAGCATTATATTTTTATTATATATTATACAATAAAGAAAAAAGTTATAGGGAGAAATGGTTATGGTGTCTGAAAAACAAGCGCCATATTCTTATTAAATATTATACAATAAATAAAATAGTTATGGAAAGAAATGAATATGGTGCGTGAAAACAAGCATTAAAAACCAGGTTATATAACTTGACATACACTACTCTTATGCATTGGAAATTGTTATGAAGGTGTTGATAAATCATATCAATATCTTTAAAGCACAAAATCAGCCGCTAATTTCATCATTTTACATTTTAACTTTCAGGAGGATTCCAAAGGGCAACGGTAGAGCACGTGTCACAGAAGTGACGAGGAGACCATTAAGGGTTCATAGGGATACACAAGAACTTAGCGGCTTGAGTAGATTATCAAACCACCAAGAGGTAAAATTTACTATTGATTTGATTGTTGACACATCAAAGCATATGAATTTAGTAAAATTGCTTGCTAAGTTTAATAATTATAAATGGCAGGCGGAGCATCGAAAAATTAACCATGGAACTGATAGCAGTGGCGACAAGTTACCTTGTCCCAGAGTTAATGGTGGTTCTAGACTCTTTGTAGATCTTCAGCCAATGGCAGCACTAAATCCTTCTGATCGAGGTCGACATATTAAGCATATTTCTCAAGGGAGCATTCCTTTCTCAGGTCCTTTGCATGTTAATCATTCTAATGGTCTTGCATGGGATAAGAAACTGCGGGAAGATCGTCCATTTGCTAAAACTCATATTAAAACTACCTCAAGGAACCATAATAATGGTGCACCGGAGCTGCCAGCTGCTATCAGAGCCAGAGTTAGTTCTGGTTTTGATGGCCAAGCTAATGGAAATACTGCACATTATCCACTTGATCATCACAGGCGCAATGAGCAGTATAAATTGGCAAAGAAAGCAGCGATGAAAAATTGGGCACAACTGGAACAACCAGATTCATTCGATTCTTCCAAATTTCATTCACATGATTTCTCAAGAAATGGCACAATGCAATCAAAGCGCAGTATGCTGGTTCGTAGAAAGCTATTTCCTGGGTTTGACTATGTTTATATTTTATTTTTCTTAGATTTCTACTATGGTTTTATGGGCTAAAAGATTTCCTATTCTTTAAATTGAAACTTTAGGGATATCATGATGGAGGCAGGGTGGAGTTTTCAGGGCCATTGTTGTCTAAAGCCCAAAAGGTTGATGAATTGTTAGAAAAACATGATCGTCAAATCCGGAAAGCCGTTCGAAAATCATGGTTCCAACGAGGTAAATAGAAATCACTTGTAATACTTATGTTCCATCTTTTGTTTCTGGTTTTTACACATTTATGTTAATAATCATTACATGTCTTCAAAAACTACTTAAAAAGGACATCTTATCAGCCTTTCTATCTGTAATTTTGGGAAATCTCTATAATACACTATCTAACTATGACCTATTTGTGAATAACAATGGCATTGTTCAAATTCAGTGCAACAGCCCTCATGTTTTAACTTTTTTTTTAAATAAGAAAACTTAAAAATTCTAATGATGTTTAACTGTTAAATTTATTAGAGTTGCACTTAACTCTCATAATTTTATTATGGTTTTACCATATTCTAGTTGCTCAGATCTATCAGAGTTGCACCAACCTTAGTAATTTACCTGGGCTTTGATATTTTACCAAGATTTATTTAGCAAAATATTCGTAAAACACTAAGATTTGCTAGTTGATAGGTTCGATTGATCCTTAGTGAGCTCACAACGTCAATTTCTGATGATCTTGTGGAGTTCCTGAAGATAGAAAGAGTAAGAGTAGGAAGAAAGATAAAGAGAGAAACTAATTAATCATTAAAGTTTTTATAAGTTATATGTCTATAAGAAAAAAAAATTGAAAACTTGATAGCTACTTCACTATAGTTGAAAAATGATGTACTTTACAAAAAAGCCACACTATAGGGAGTATTGTACAAATTTCCCTATTATCTTTTTTAATGCTGACAACTTCAACTTTTATCTTCATGACTACCATTTCTTTTCTAAAATACTAGTTGGATTCTAATATTATACTATCAATTGGATGAATATACATTTATACAACTATTTAAAAGAATACTCATCGCGTTAGTATCAGCTTTGTTATACTCCATTTTTGTGTTAACATAAGAAAAAATTTTATCATTTATTTAAACGAATATTCTGCTTGACTTATTCAGATCTACACTCAAAATTGTCTTTAAATACAGGTATGCTGAAACGTTTGCTCCTTTTAAAAAAAAAAAAAAACCTTTTTTCCCTTATATTTTGCATGAACTAATCAGATTTAATCTTATGTGCAGTGGCTGGAAGAAATCAAGTTCAGTGAATCAAAGCTGTTGCTTATACTTAAGAAGCTCCTGCTGTACATTGCAACGTATCCTATCTGTTATAAATTGCCCGACAAAACACTTTGGTAAAGACTGTTACATTGATAGGAATGAGGCTAAATATGTTTCCATTTTTCTCACAAGTGAGTTTAGCAGCCTTAAATATGTTAAGGATGAAAAAAATATAAAAAATTTCATTCATTTGTCATATTTTTTTTGCTGATTCTGAGATGTTAACCAAACAGGATGTTCCAGTTTTCATATTAGAGAAGGATGGAAAACAGCGACTGCTACTTATGCATAGCTTTGATTTTCTATTTTCTTTTCTTTTCTTTTATTTGTTCCCGCTCTCTCTTTTTTTTTTTTTTTTTTTGGCGTTGTATAATGCATTATAACAAAAGTCTTTATATGGCTGATATAATGAAATTTGTGCTTTTAACATCGCTTAAACAGAGTAAAACATTTCTATAAATCTTCACAAATCCAACCACACTCTATCAAAATTGAACTCACCAGTGTAATTATGAATTTATCTTGTCATATTTATTTAAGGATTTTTTTTAATACATCTTTTAAAATTTTCATATTTATTGATGTATTATATAAACCCCATGTAGTGGGATAAAGGCTTGATGTTCTTGTTGTTATATTGATGTATTATTTAAACTTTTATAATTAGTAATATTCTATCTTATTCTATAAAATCTTTATATATTATTGATATATCATTAAAAAAACAACTTAATTAGACATAAATGTTGATGCATATATAAATTAAAAACTTATAATTAAATTTAAGACAATCCAAACTTAAATTTCAACAAACTTATAGTTGAACTAAATATTTTGATGAGATGAGCTCAACAACATCAAAAGTGATGCTCTGAGTCCGAATGAGTTTAGATCAAGCAGTTGAAGCACGATAGAAAACATCAACAAACAATTTGGAGGAATAAATAATTTCCAAAGCTAGCATGCTTATTGTCAAATCGCATCATGACTAGATGAATCCAATGAGCTCAAAATAGTCTAATTCTGACATCATTAAGATGCTTAAATGCTGAAAGTATAACCTATGATTGAAAGAATCAATACAAGCCTTTTGATGGAGTATTCTAGATTTTGACTACAGATCTCCGCTTTCTACATGAAGGGAGCCTTGAAGGCTTGAACCTTAGCTTGAGATTTAAGAGAGCTTACATGCTTGAAAAATACCAGAGCACCACTATTGTTAGATCATCACCCCATTACGACCTTAGGACCACCGTCTGGCTGCCATTATTGAACTCTCACCCAATTAAGGTCCTTTGACAACTGCTGCCCAATTAGGTCTTCTAACTACAATCATCTGACTACATTCATCCGACAATCTTTACCTGACTAAGGTCTTCCAACAACTTCGGCCAACTACAATCATGCTACGATCATTGCTCATCTATGGTTCTCTGACCAGTGTTGCCCAATTACAATCCTTTGATTATTATTGCATGATTACATTCATCTGTATAGTGTTGTTCAACTACATTTCTCTTACCACTATCGTCCAACTATGATCATCCACCACTCTCGCTTGACTACATTCATCTGTCCACCATCACATGATTATGGTTCTTTGACAACTGTCTCTCAACTACGATCCTCCAACCACTATTGCTCAACAAATATCCTCTGACCATCATCCCTTATTACAATCAACTAATCATCTCCTCCGATTAATGTCGCTCAATTACAATACTTCAACAACCATTGCCAGACTATAATCATCTTACCATCATAGCCTAACCATAGTCCTTGATCACCATTACCTAATGAAGACTCTTTGACAACTTTCATGCAACTATGTCCTACTACCATTGCCCAACTATGGTCATTGCTTGACTACGGTCCTTCGACCACTGTGCATGGCTATACTCATCCAACCACCATCACCCAACACCAATACTTCAACCACTATTGTCTAAATATAGTCATTCGACCACAGTTTCTTGGCAACAATCCTCTGACCACTATTGTCCGACTATGATTCTCTGACAGTTATAGATTGTTTATGGCTTTTTAACCCCCGTTGCTTGAATATGTTGTTTCAATTACCTCGCCTGACTATGATCATTAACAATTATCATCTGACCATCATAGCCCAACTTTAGCCCTCCTGTAATATTCACATGTTTAGTTTTAATTTAGGAATTACCACATTGCCCTTGAGTATCTGTTTGTTTTGAATATATTTATATAGATACATGTTTAATTAATATGATACTCAAAGATACATATTAAAATATATTTTCAAGTTACTTTGTTATTTAAATTTTTTTATAAATGTTTGCTAAGAAATAAAGATACGATCAATTAAATTCTATAAGATATATTTTGACCCACAATTTTTAAATAATTTATCTGAATTTGTTATAAATCTGATTTATAAACTATCTTTGCTACATCATAAAGAATTTTGTTCCCTAATTTATATTTTTTTTGTGGACATTTTGTATATGAAAATAATAAATTATTTATTTAATTGAAACTCTTTAATAAATTGTGACACATGTCTTTAAAAACAAATTTTTTGAAATAATTTAGTGTCCGTTTTGCAAACCATTTTTACCAGAACACAACGAAATATTTTGTGATTATTTTTTTCATATTTTGGAGCTCCGAAAATCATGTTATATAAAGGTTTGGATGGAGTTTATATTAAAAATTAAATGATTTGTATAATTTTTTTATATAAATTTAAATCAACACCTTCCAAAACCTTCATTATCCCTCTTTTAAGCTTTCTTAAACTATGGAGGAGAAGGATTAGAAAGGAGAAAAAAAGGGATAAATGGGAGCGAAACTTAGGATTTGAGAGTCTAAGAGCTATTTTCATCAGCCGAGTTAGTTGGAAAAATTATTTGAAACAAAGTGGACTTCCATTACCCTACTTCTATTTCAATGATTTTATTTTTTTGTATTTTTTAAATTTAATTTGATCAGAAATTATAAAAATTATGATATCTCAATATTTTAAAAAAAATTATCATGCAACTTTAAATATATCATTGTTCTAATTATTCTACGCCTTTTGATATAATCATATTAAATTTCTATAGAATATTTCTTATGTCCTAATTTTTTGATAAATTTATGTTGCATCATATCAATATAAAAAATATGATATGAATTATTGTTATATTTCTATTGTGGTTATATATTAAAATGAGCCCAGTGAGTTATTCTATAAACTCTATCATTTTGCTCTACATATAATTTTTATATTACTATAAATGACACAATGAGATGGATATTGAATATGATTTCAAATATTAATTTATTGGATATATTATAAAATATGCGTATGTAAGAAAGACTACCTATGACAATTCAAGATGGTGAAGCATGATATCTTGCACAAGAGGCTGGGTTGACGGACTTTCCTTTAAATATGGGTTAGTAATGTAAACCTAATACAAGATAGGAGAAATATGTTTATAATGTGATATAGTTTTGAGTGCCTGTGGGCTAAGAGTGATAATTTTTGTGTATTATATCATATGACAGTTCTTACATATATGACATGATATAAAATTGTACCTAACTTATTTTAATTGGTACAAGAAAAGAATTACATGATATGATGCGATTAGTGAGAATTAATTTTCTTAATATGTAAATGTGATGATAAATACCTCTTATACTACTATACATGATAATATGCTTTGCATAGACTAATTATGATATGATATGATGCCCTACATGATATAAAATTTTGAAATGATAACTTCGATCATAAATCATAATTATATTGTATATGATACCTAAACATAATTAGTTGAATAAATATCTATTTACTTAGCATATGTTTATAAATTAGTTGTTAGTATAAATATTATTTGTACTTTTGTACACTAAATATAGTTGCATGCTTCATGTAATATACAGAATAGTTTGCTCATCTTTGTTATATTTATATATTTTTCAAATAAAGGTAAGGCCCTAATAGAGTGAGGTCATTGTTTTGCTGTTAGAGATACTTCTTACCATTATAAATTAAACTAAATTCCTAAATATAACTTGGAAAAAAATTTTTCTCTCACACTCAACTTGATACAATCTATTATGATATATAGATAATGCCAAGTGGGGTTGTGATGATTTATGGTATTAGAACAATGGTGTTGGAGGAATTGATTAAGTACACAGTCATAAGATTGATTATGAGATAGTAAAATTTGGGTATTTTTAAGGTTAATAATTCTTTCATTCATGCACATATATACATCATCTTGAGTTATTACATATGATTGTTCAAGTGTAAGGATATTATGGTTGTAGTTCAGTGGATTCCCAAGAACATGAAATGACTAATGGACAAAATTCAATTCAAGCATTATTGACATAGAAATACAATAGGTACTACGGCATTAGACTCCATGATACAATTTGCCAAGATAACTCAGCTAATGGACGATGCACATAGTAGGATGTTTACCAGCAGAGAAGATTATGAAGACAAACTTCTACAAATTATAAATATTGAAAACGCCATTTTTAAAGGGTGCGATCGAGTCACAAATAACAGAGGATTGTTAATTGAGAATAGAAAAAATCTTTGATGGGATGCAATGCTCAAAAAATTGTAAGGTACCAATGCTAGTATTTTTATTTGAGTGAGAAGAAAAACACTGATAATTAGACCAACAGAGAGAGAAGTTTCAGGATAACTTAAATTATTTAATTACTTAGTAATTTATGAGTAATTTCAAACAGGGATTTGTTACTTTTTCGACCAACTTGCAGATACATGAGGCTTTTACAATGCTAATGCAAGGGACATGACTGGTATGCAATATGAGGCTGAGCTCATTACTTTGGCTAGGTATGCCCTACAGATGGTTAATACTGTTAAGGAGAAATGTTATCGTTTTTTGAGAGGGCTTAGAGATTGTTTGAGACAACTCTTAGTTCCATTGAGAATTAAATATTTCACAGAGTTGGTGGAGGGCGATTGAAGCTAACTAGTCATAATTAGCTGGACTTGTAGATTATAATCATTTGGCCTGACTCAAGATTGACTCAAATGACTACGAGCTGATCACGAGTTGAGGGGATATATCAGCTAGAGATTGAATTATTAATCCTAACCATAATAATAATAATAATAATAATAATAAAAGAAAAAAATATTATAAAGGTTGTATTCATGCAACACTAACATTGAAGAACAAAAAATGAAATCTAAAATCATTTTTAAGGCCATCTGTTTAAAGTGCTTCAGAGTGAAGTCACTTCAGTAGTTTTTAAAGGAAAATGTTTAGCACATAAGATCAAAAGATATGTATTCAAATCTTAAATTGCACAAAGAATATTCCAATGAAATGAAGAATCAAAGTAAGCAGCAATGACAAGCTCTATAAATTTTTTACTTACTTGACAAGTACCATGAAGCCTTGATCAAACTTTGATCGCCTTCTTGAATAATTCACCTTCATATACATACTTAAAAAGAGGTTCAGCTGTACCTAAAATTTCTGAAAACCTACTAATTCCTGCATCCCACAAATAATGTTTATCCATAACGAAGGAATGATAGCAGCACATAAATAAAAAGGAAGGCATCACTAAAGCTAGAACTAAGTTTCTTCCATGTGGAATATCTGTATAATATAAGAATAAAATATGTACTGAACTCACTCATCCAAACAAAAACACATTTAACCACTAAACCTTGGTCGGCTAGTTGACTTTCTAACTCACATAACTTAACAAAAAACTATATTAATGGCAGCTTGCAGGGGTGGCAGGTGAGTTGCTAATAAAATATTACTATATATAAACTTCAGCACAATAATCCAATAATTTATCCAATCATTATATAACTTTTTTTTTGGTCTTCCTCGTATTTCCTATTTTCTTCTAAATCAGTATCTCAGGTCAAATGAGATTAGGGTTGGCATTGAATCGAATTCAAACAAGACGGGCTTGGCATGAGCTAGGCTCAGCTCATATTTGTGTTTAGTTTGAATAAAACTCCAATGTTCAACTTTAACATGACTTGAACATGTCAAATTAGAGCAATATTTGGTTCAACTAGGCTCAACTTGCAAAAAATCAATTCTAAGAAAAGTAGTGAGGTAGAATGGAGGGGGTTGGCCAAAAGAGGGGAAAAAGGGAAGGCGTCCACATACGTTGAATGTGTCCACATACGATGAATGTGGACTTAAGGAATTTCCAAACTTGAATTATTAAGATAAGAAAAGAGGAATTATGACAGGTCTTTAATTAAATTCAAATAGGGAGAATTAAGGAAAGCCTCATAATATAATTCATCCTATTTTAAGAAAGAAATTTAAATTCAAATTAATTTAAAATTGAATTTAAAAATTTTCCAAAATTAAGATGCATCGAATAAGAAATGCCTTCAATAATCAATTTGAAAGTAGAGAGAAAGAGGAAATAGGAAGGGGGTAGGGCCGGCGGCTAGCATGATTATGGATGATTGATATGAGGGGTTAAAGGCGACTATATTTAGAATCTTAAAATAGGAAAGTGGATTTAAATCAACTCCCATTTAAAATTCAAAATTGCATGATTTGAGGGACTTCCCTAAAATAGTTTTCCTCATTTAGGAAGTAAAATTCAAATTCAAATTCAATTAAATATGAATTTAAATAGTTTCCAAAATCAAAGGGAGCTAATTTAGGAAATGATTTGAATGCTAGATTTTGAATCTTGGAGCCAAGGGATGGATGATGGACGACGGCTTTGGGAAGGGGATTGGGCCGGCCGTTAGGTGTCTTTTGGCCTAGGGTTTGGGTGGAGTTTTCGGCCAATAGGAGAAAGAGAGATGGGGAAGTGGCGGTTAGGAAAATAAGGAGAATAATAAAAAGAAGAAGATAAAAACTACGAACCTTGGACTCTTCCGAAGACTGACGGGTGATACGTTGCCCTTCTCCAAGGGACTTCAAGCCACGAGCCCGGACCCATCCTGCGGCCAGTGAAAACTCTGATTTCTTCCCATAGGAATCTCACTAATGTCCTCCCAAAAGAACGCAAGTGCATAACACAAATTTTTATTATAATTCCATCATATCTAATACAAGAGAAGGGGACTCTATATATAAGCCTGAAAACAAACTAAAAGATAAATTTGCCCCTAGGGCTTACATAAAACAAGACTCTTAAATAAAAAAGGTAAAAAAGAAAAATTGTAAAATTAAATCAAAATACAATTAGTAAACTAAAGTAAAACGGAGAGATCTCGGCCATCGATCTTCGATTCTTCCTTTGAATATCGTCCACCGTCGGATGCCGCATTAAGTAGACTCCAAATTATTAACAAACAAGACTCATGATTTGAAATCCAATCAAGCCCAGCACTAAATGGGGTGAAATAACTCCAAATTACCCAACACAATTAATATTATCATATTTGATTATTTGCAAAATATTTACCATTTAAATGCAAAATAATATAAAACAAATACAAGACAACCTAAAAGACAACATACAAATTTATGTTCATATAAAGTATAACATTAATGTGCTTTTTTAGCAGACTAGAATCAAAATTTGAACTTTAGCCTGGATAACTTTTGTAAGCTTAAAATTTGGTCAATTACTAGATTGAAAATGACCAAACAATTTCAAATGATTTGAAATTTGAGCAAACCTCACGTTTTATCTAATACTGTCAACTAATCACATATTAGGTATCAACCTAAGATAGTCCAAGAAGACCTTATATGTGAATGGAATTCTGCATTAAGACGTTGAGGAAAAAGAAATAATATGATACCCCACAGAAAAATTAGTATCTTCTTATGCAAATCCTGAAAGCTTATTCCACCAAATTCAGTATTATAGAAACATTCTATTGTTTTCAAGTATATTTTTTCAAGCAAAAAATTGTCCAAAAGTACAATTCACATTATCAACCGATGGGACTTAATGCTTCAAATTTATGGCCATGTACATAATTCTAGTTGAGAATAATGAAAAGTTCTATTCAGTTAACATCTAAGCACATGAACGCCTCTCTATCCACAGGCACACACGCGCACACACACATACTCTTACCACTCCTTCGAAGATGTAGAGCTAGTTGAAAATTTATTTTTATCTAAAAATAACTAACAATAATATGCATGCTCTAATTTAACGGTGAACAAGGATATAAAATCATGAGAACTCCGGAATGATAACTAGTTTTAGGAGGTATGAACGCTTACCACTAAATTTTTTGGTATCTCTATGCATTCAAGAGAGAACAAACAATGAATGGAAAAGCATGACAGAAAAGCTATTGGAAGATTACATGCACCAATGTGCTGAAAGAAAATAAGCAAGCATCTTAATTACAAGTCCTGAAGTTAACAAATATAAGGCCAACTGGTTCCTTTTAGCTAAATAACAATGTCCAGCAAATTTATCTATCCAGCATTGATATCAATTCATGCATTTAACATAAGCCTTTATCTCCTAAGAAAGTGAATTGTTCAAAAACAAAACTTCAAGGATATATGAGGATCAAGGCGGTGTAGCCCAGCCATGTATACAGATTTTTCCTATTTGAGTGATTGAACAAGCGGCAAAGCTTGCTAGATGTCAAGGGCACAGTAAAAGAGAAGTTGTATGCTAAACAGAAATCTATATGGCAGTTATCCTCTTTCAATGAGCAACCTGTAAATTGATGTGACCACACGCCTGCAAAAGAGCAAACTAAAATAGATGAAGAACACCATTTGAATTATTCAGAGTTTACTCTTAACAAGTATTGAGTAGGATCAACATGATGGATAGCTTATTCTGTATCTTAATCAACTGTTTGAAGTGAATACAAAATATATCATTCAGTTTTGTGCTTCAGCAGAAAGTTCTTACAAATAATGCCAGACTATGTCAAGTACTAATCAGGACTCAATTTCCTCCTCCAAACTAACTGAATGAAATATGGCGCTGCTTATTAACTGTAAGGAATTCATGACCAAATGGAGAAAAAAAACAAAAAAATTATCAAGAACATGCTATTCAGCAATTGTTAACTGAGATGAAAGGTTTTCCAATTCTTCAGAAGTTTGTTCATTTGCATTCAATAGTTCCATGCCACCAGATGATCTACAGGTGAAATAGAAAACCGCGCTCATCATAGAATCAATAAGAACCACAAAGGAATACATAAGTACCAACAGAGGTCCTTCCCATATTCGCGAGGACCCATCACCATAGCTCAAAGTTTTTACCCTGTGCTCAAACAGCCCTTCAACAAAAGCCAATCCTGTAGTTGTCCCTAAAAATATCACCAACCCTGCGTGTATCTGCCTCTTGACCAACCTCATGGACCTCACTAATGCCTGTGGACCAGATGCATCCTCCAATACAGATATCACACTGGCGAGATTGCATACCACAATTATATGTGCATAAGCTACTGAAAACCCCAACAGAGCTAGCAATGCAGGATATATGATGATCTCAGGAGGATAGCCCAATCTAGAAAATGAACTGCAGAGAGCAACAATGAGTGTAATGAAGACAGTAAGGCAACTCACAATTGCAGCACAATTGCAAATGTAGGTCAAGACCAGACGCCTCAGAATGCGGGCAACCGTCCCTTTGAACTCGGTTATCATAACCTTCTTTCCTGCATAACTGCAGGCCACGGAGTAAACAATGCAGGCACGGGCCAGGAGAAGGAAGGTGATTATAAGAGGGAAGCAAAATACAGAAGAAACTAATGTTCCGGCGAGATGGTGGCACATTTGTTTGAGGAATTGTGCGGGTGGTAGACCACTGGTGACAGCAAGTAGTATCAATCGGTGCCCTACGCTGCTGACGAAGGACTGGTTGAGAAGAAAATTAGAGAGAAAGGCGGAGGAGACAGGGCAGATGAGAAGGGCAAAGATGGACATGAAAGTGGAGGGATCAACACGGAGGATGCGGACCGTCTCCCTCAAAATCTCCAATGCATTCAAGGGGGGAATGGCTCCGATTTCGGAGAGATCCGGGAGCATGTGGTCGATAACCACCGGTGGCAGCCGCGGAGAGCTTTGACTGCCAATTAAATGCCCCATATCGCCAAAATCGAATTCTATTTTCACAAAGGATGATGACGTTGATGGCTAGGGTGAAGAAACCGCGATTTGGTTCGATGTTAACGGAATGAAGAGCACATTATTTCGCAGGCATTGCAGGACAGTAAATAAACGAAAAACACGATAGTTAAGAAGCGAAGTGGGAGAGACCAGAATAAGAAAGCGATGGAGAGGGAGGGGATCTGAAAAGAGAATACTGCAGTTAAGGAGCAGAACGGAGGTAGAGGTAGAGAAGCATAAGGTTTTCCGGCGAACAGTGGAGGAAAACGTGGGAGATGCGATCTGGAATCAGCCCACAGCCTGAGCTGTTGGTTGATGGGAAAGCAGGCGTTTTTTTTTTTTTTTTTTGGGACATTTAGGCCATTTAAGGCAAACTCACACACACAACGCATACACATAGACTCGAATCTTGAACCTCTTAGTTGGAAGCCTAAGCTCTCAACCAATAGGCCAAGGAGAGTTGTGTAGCAGGCGTTCAATAAGCGGACAAATTATTCTGGTGACGTGGCTGTCACACCAGACTATAATAAAATTTTAACAATTAGGTCCGACATCAAAGTCATACATGAGGCCTTAGTTACTCATGTTTTACTTGAACGGGCATTACCCACCCACACCCATCAATAGTGACTTTTGGGATGTCGTACCAACCTATTCCCATCCACTTTCCATACTTTTTGAACTCAGTCTGTCACGGACTGATGGCCTTGAGGATTGTCGTCCCTTTGCTATGATTACAAACTTTCAAGCCGCATATTAGAATTTACCTTAATTGCAGTGTGGTTAAGTGTTGCACACTACGTAGTGAGAATACCAGTAATATAAGATATACGGTGATTAACAATGTAAATCGATTTATCCCCCGATATTGAGGGCCCACCCATACTCACTCACAAGGTCATGGGCGGTATGGGTGCCCAATGCAGGGCTCTGTTCGACATGTGTATATATATGAATTTCATATTTTATTTTTTTATAATTAGCCTGACCAATCAAGCCCAGTGGTAAAAAATTTGAATAAGTGGGAGATCAAATGTCTCAGCGCTAAGTTCATTTTGCATCTAAACATTCAATTTTCATTTTCAACATTCACTTTCATCTTTGTCATTCCGGATGGTTTACAGTTCAATTGCATTTAGGCGCTAAGTTTATCATCTACCAACAAGATTAGTATGTCATTCTCATTCAGTTCATCTTCAAAGAAATACTTTTTTTTTTGCTTAACTCTCAAAATAGTAATAGGGTTTACGTTTAGGGTTTTTAAGGTTTAGGATATTTGCTTGTCATTTTATAAATTAGCCCATGATCCTCGAACGAACGCCAAACAGAATCAACTGTTAAAAAAAACCAAAAAGGGCAGTCAGTTTAGCGTACACGGGTTGGACGCTTGTAGTATTGCAAACATACGAATGTAAACCGTCGTGCAAAATTTATACTGACTGTATCGACTGTGAATGGACTTTGTATTGACTTGGTTAGTATTAGCTATATATTAATTACAATTTTTTTATATTAATTACATATTTACTGTGTATTCATTGTGTATCGACTCTGTATTGACTATGTTTCAAGTTGTTCTTCCATTTTCAAAATTATGTTGCATAGTTTTGAAATTTCTATGAGTTCTTTTTGTTCATTTTATGAATATTTTTCGAACTATATATTAACTATGTATTAACATTATTTTTATTGTGTATTCACTGGTATTGACTGTATATTGATTGTCTTTTATCTTCAAAATTAGGTTGCAAAATTTTCAATTTTTTTATATTTTTTTTTTCATTTTCGACACTTCTTTGAACTTAGTATTAACTGTGTATTTATTGTGTATCAACTACATATTTATTGCGTATCAACTGCGTATTAATTTACTGTGTATCGATGATGTACCGAATGTGCATTCAATGTGAACTTGTAAAAGAATTTTTTTTTTTTTGTCAAATGTGCATTCAAAATTGAACTTGTAATAAACAAAAATGTTTTTGATAAACTGTTAAGATAACATCACTGTGTATTTACTATATAATTACTGCGTATCAATTGCGTATTAACTTTGTATTTATTATAAATTTACTGTGTATTTTTCTATGATGTTTGTAGATATATGTTCGGTCTATTACTTATCATTGCTATGTATCAAGTTTTAAAACTATCAGTGACTCGTTCGTCGAGATAATAAACAAGAATGTTGAGGACACCTTTAAGAGATTAAACATATATATCGATTTTTAATGTTCCTGCCATTTCAATAGAATGTTCCACTGATATACGAGCTGCTCAAATTCTAGAATATTCCTCAGATATGCTTTATCATTAAGGGTCATGAGATAAAGCTCACCTCACATGAAATGACTTTGCTTACAGGATTTCCAAACAGAGATGATGCGATATGCTGGCAGAGCGAGTCACTCACAATATATAAATCAATGTATATTAATAGTGAGATGATAGAAATTTACATATCAACTTACCCATCCATTATGTTAAAGATATATATCTTATTTTTATTATCAAATTTATTTTGCCCCTTAATAACTATAAAATCCCAAGAAGACTTTTTACTATTACAAATAATGTAAATGAGTTTTCATCTATTAACTGGGTTAGGACCATAAGAGATTTTTTAGTTTATGAGTTTAATAAAATTGTCAGAAAGATTGCTATGTAAAAGCTATTGGGTTATATAATAGTTTTGTGCATCCGCTAATTGTGAGTGCTAAGTGTACTATTCTAATTATTAATTCATTACTTAATATTACATTTGATCTTATACAAATTTGATTCTTATAGCATTTTTCAGTAAATGTCAATAGGTACCCTGACATAAGACCCTGTTTTCTTCGATGGGGTGATACAAATATATTTTATTCTATCGAAAAGACCTTCAATTGATTTGATACGCTAAAGGAAATGCAGGCAAGCATGTAGATTTATCCTGGAACACATTTCAATTAATGTCTCTAAGATTGAAGATTTGCTAACAATGGAATAAATTTTGTGTAGATTTTTTATTCCCTCCAGGGAGTAACTCAGGAGGAAATAGACAACCTACTAGCTAACTACATTGTCATCCATAACTTCTAAACATCAAATCCCCTTCCTTCTCCTCAGCAAATACTCTCTCCAGCAACATGAAAGGAATTCCTACCCACACCCCTCATTCTCCCCATCATTTTATAATTCATATCTTTAGTCGACTTATCAACATATGATAAGTTCTAAGTAAATTTAGATGCTCATAAGGCATCCTTCAAATGAAGATTTGTAACACAAATGATCTATAGATCATTTGGCTGCTAACAATGTTCTTCAAAATGATGATTTCATTTTCATTCAATTTTTATCAGAGTGGCTTATGAAAGGGTTTGTTGAGCTTAATTACATTCATTGAAGTTATGAATCTAATAAATCTTTAGGTTCTTCTAATTGTGTTCTATAACTCATAAGCCAAATGAGTGCTACAGTTTCTCATGAATTAAAAAAGTGTAAATCTACGAATCAAGCAAAAAAAAAAAGCAGTGATCATTTTCCTGCAAAAGGAAATTCCATTAACTTTTATTAACTTCTGCTCGAGCTTTTATACCAAATCACTTATGATCAAATCATCAAAACCGTTACAGCCAGCCTCTGATCACTCATACTTCAGCCTCCACATCCTCCAAGTCACCAAAAAGAATAAGAAAATCCTCAAACATTTTTTGCAGCAGAAGAAAGCATCAACCAATACTCATACGTACCCATCTCTGCTTTCCTCCTAGCTTCCTCCATCACCATAGAAATCTCAAATGATTCATAGAAGCCTGACAACTCTTCCTCCAATCTAAGATGCGTGTCTGAAAAATTAACACTTTTATCTACTTCATCATCTTTCACTTTCTGCTGATCATCATGAGTGCAGATGGATTCTGTATTGCAATAAGTCATACTGAATTCATTCTCTTCACCACTTTGAGTGGTACTTGAAACGCTCACATCACTCAGAAGCTGATCACCATAAGCTATTCTGTTGATGGGTTCGATTTCTGATTGGTTATCGAACTGCTGTTGCTCCGGCGCCGGCTGCAGTACTGACGGTAGAGGCATCGAAGGCGGAGGTGGCGAGGATGTTTGGGCATGAGCGGCCTGCTGGGTTTCGAGGTGGCGTAGGAGGTGGTTGAAGACCTTGGCAGGAAGCATCGAAGATGCGGAGTCTGACCCGCCAGGCCAGCCCGAGGACCGCGGCCAAAAGTTGGTTCTTGTGTTGGCGCCACGGAGGAGGCAGGCAGCCTCATCATAAGCTCGAGCGGCTTCCTCGGCGGTGTCAAAGGTGCCAAGCCACTGGCGGATCTTCTGTGCTGTGCCTTTGATCTCCGCCACCCACCGCCCCGATGGACTTTGCCGGACTCCCATGTAGCGCTTTCGAGGCTGTTCAATGGTGTTAGCGGCTGTTGAAGAGGACGAGGAGGCGAAAGCTTCTATTTTTTTATCACTGCTACTGTCTTTTGTCTTCCTCTTTTGCACCATTTTACTTCTTACTTCTTGGCTTTGAATCTGCTTTTGAAGGAATGAGTAATGCTTGAAAGGTAGAAGAGATATATATGATGATACTAATATGGTTTGCAGTGGATGGAAGTTTTAGCTCTTTGGTTTCTTCTGCTTGTGTTTTGGCTTTAGTTCTTGTCTTTCATTTTGTTTTCTTCCCGTTTGATTTTGTATTGGAAGAATCGGGCGGCAGAAGATGCTATCTCCAGACGTCTTATTTTTATAAGAAAAACCAAAATTTCCTTTAAACATGTATGAATGAAAGGGACAATATTGCAGCAGCAGAAGTCTAACTGACTAACTAATTGGTTGTATTAATTAAGAAGGAATTGCTGAACAGAAGTCAAATGGGAAGTCTGCGCAGTTTCCTGCTTCCCAGCAAAGTCCTCCCATCAATGAAACAAGAAGAAAGCTTGACGATCGACCTTTCTCATTCCCTTTTCTTTTACCTTTATCAATGGAGTGGGGATTGAAATGAATATAAATGTTTTTATAGGGGTTGCGTGCAAGAGATTGCCATTTTGCGAAAAGAGGAACATAGGATGATCTGAAAAAAAAAAAAGTTATAGGAGGGATAATTTCATTCTATCATTTTCTTTTGTCTCCCAACTCTTTCATGCCTTTTTGATTTTAGATGAATGCAAATGCAAAGTGCAGCCCAACTCTTTCATGCCGTTCTTGTTACCAATGGATAAGCTATTGAAGGTTTAATTCATAGTGGGATATTTTTCTATCATTTATTGATCATCTTTGATATGTTACCCAATAATACATCAAATCATGATGTTTGATGACATATTTGAATTAAAATTTTCCAAAATTAAATTCAGAATCACCTGAATTTTAATTTTAGCAAATTTATAGTCAAAGGAATATTCCAACAAAACAAATCTAACTTCATTGATCTGACTTGATCCCTAATGAACACAAATCAAATATTTCAGGCATAGTTAAAAAAATCATGATATTAATTGAAGGACCAAATGATCTCCGAATAATGGATGCTTATAATCAAAACAAGTAGCACAATAATGAGAATGCAATGAGCCTTATATCACTAGATTATTTAAGCAATTAAATATTAAAAGAGTGATCTCTTATCAAAAGAATCAGTATGACTCATTTGATTGAGTGACTTGAACATTTTGGACAAAATTATTAAAATGTTACTTAAGAAAATTATAAATAGACTCTCATTCATCACATGAAAAGGGCTTGAATTTTTTACTTCAAATAAGAGAAAGCATGTAGATAAATTTGCTGATAAATTTACTCAAGTTGTGATGATTCACTAAGCATTCTAATAAAAATTGCTATGAGAAAAATTTTCAATAAGTGATTTTGTTAAATAACTTCAAAACAACGAGAATCAACATAGTTTGACGACAGCCATTGAAATTTGATTTGATGAGTAAATGCTTAAAGATCCTTAAATTTATTATGAAATTCATACTTGAGCTGATAAATTTTGTTGACATATCTAATTTGTTTAATCAGGTTTGATCAATTGCTTCATATAGTGTTAAAATAGCACTCAAATGCTTTGTATCTATTGAATGGTTTAGGCTTCGTTTTGGACAACTTTCTGATTGTTTTTTGAAGCAGCTTTCTACTACAAAAATTTTTAGTTCAAATTTTTTTGTTACTAAAGTTATTTTAGAAAGAGTAAGAAAGCTGTCTCAAACGAAAACTTAGGTTTTGTTTGGGACAGCTTTCTTTCTGTTTCTTAAAACAGTTTTAGTACAAAATTTTTTTTGTACTAAAACTGTTTTAAGATGCAGAAAGAAAGCCGTTCCAAACGAAGTCTTAGACTTGTCGAAAAAGCTCGTTCATGAGCCGCTTGTGTGCAACTAGGTAAGAGCTTTATGTTCGACTCATTGGTTATGGAAATGAGCTTAAGCTTAAATAGATATTTGATCCTTTTTTTAAACGGGTTGATCACAAATAGAGCAGAAGCTTGTTTATTAATAGCCTTTTTTTAGCTCAATTTGACTTCGATTTGAGTTTTTGATCTTGTGTTCAATCTTGATTCATTTTAAATGGTGGATGTTTCATGTTCAGCTCATATTCGATTCATTTCATGCTTATTGAGCTTCTTATCGAGCATGTTCATAAGCTTCAACTGATATTGAATATAAACAAGTCGAACACATAGTTGTTCAATATTGTTTATTCATTCATAAAGTATTTAAAAAATATTCTATCTTGTTTAATTACTCAATCAAATGATCACGAACGAATTATAATTGAGCCGTGTAATGAGTAATTTGTTGAAAGCTCAGTTCATTTGCAACCCTAGCTGCAATATTTCTTTTTCTTATCTTAAAAAAGGAAAAATATATTAAATAAAACCCATGACAAAAAGATAAAAGAATGCAATAAGCTAGCTCTTGAAGCAAAACTTTTAGAAGCAAATTTCTATTTTATTAATTGTTTGTTATGACATTCTTTTTTTTTTTTCTTTTTTTTTTAGTTGTCAACTATTTTAATTATTATATCTTTTGTCAAAACCTTAAGATAAAAAAAAAATTTAAATTAATTTTATATTGTGAAACTCAAATTAACTAAAGGAAGAAGATAAAGGTGGGCTTTGAACTTTCCACAAGTTTTTGCCACCTTGTTCATGAGGAGATGATCCCATGGTTGTTTGAACTGTGGATTAATTATTATATTGATTTAGGAAGTTGCGATTATAGCCTTTCTCAACTTGGTCTAATTATTTTCTTAATGCATTTTTTAGTTTATCATTTCATCATTAATTACTACAAATTAGCTGACAAAGGATAAAGTTGGTGCAATTATTAAAGAATTTAGTTGGGATGTTTATGTAGTTTTTTATAAAGTTGACTGCGAAGTTGTTGTAAGAAAAATATCTTAATTTTTTTAGTTAAGAAAAGCAGCTTTTCGTCACAAAAAATTATTGAAAAGCAATGAGTAAGCAATAAGAAAATAGTCGCCAAATAAAATTGTGGTTGTTATCTGAAAAGAAAAGCAATTAGAAAGTTGACCCAAATAAGCCATAAGTTTCCTCTATTTTCAATCAAAGGTATTTAGTTTAAAGTTTTGTTTTGGACGGTTTTCTGTATCTTAAAGCATTTTTTTAGTACAAAAATTAAAATTTTTATAGTAAAAAGCTGCTTTAAGATACAGAAAAAAAAAAGTTGTTCCAAACAAAGCCTAAATTTGAATAATATACCTCTATATTGAAGGGGTAAAGCTATTTATATGAACATAAACTTCTTTTTTTTTAAATGAATGTCAATGTTATTGAATTTCTTTTAAAGTAAGTGCATATAAATTTTAATTAATTTGTTTTGTATTGTATTCTTTTTAAAGAAAATTAATGATTTTAAGATTCATAATCATCAAAATTTTAATATATGTTAACCTTAAATTCTATAGGGCTGCTATAAGGGAATACCAATACTAGCTGAGTGGGGCATGTGTTTCTATATTTTTCCCCTCAAATATTTTAAGGAAATTTTATTTTATATATCCAAAAATAGCAAAAATTGGAGAAATATGTAAGCTATTTATTTTCTTGGGAATCAAAATATCATCTTTTTTGAATAAATAGTTCGAGTCGAAATCCTCACTAAATAGTTATGCAACTTTTCATTAAAAGGAGCTTGCGATTATAGTTATTTCCAACATATTCTCCATTTTTGGGGCAAATTATTCCGTCCGGTCACCTGACATGCGGACGGCCAATCCAGAGACGCCACCTCACCCGGATGCATTGGACCCCGGTATTTTTGAGTGATCTGGCGTGTTTTTATTGGTGTCCGAAGAAATCCGGACACCGGACCCAATAATTTGCCCATTTCCGGTGATTGCAATACTTGTGTGTTCGAGTTGTCCTAAAATTTCAAAATGATAGTCTCTCCATCCATTCATGATGTGCAAAAGCTAGTGATGTTATTCGTAGATTATTTAAGAATAAATATGGTATTCCCACTCTAAGCTCTAAACCCAAATCAACACAAGTGATCGTCCTATTTGCTTAGAACTTATTAGAACTATCTTTCAATCACCTTCGTATTCACACAAAGATTAAACCACGATCAAACAATCTTCAAATAATCGTTATACCACGGTTTTATTTTATGATTTGAATAAGCGAATCACTTTTGAAGAATCCAAAAAAAATGATTGAATCGTCTTTGAACCTTGATCGAATATTGAAGATGATTTAGGCTTCATTTGGGACAGCTTTCATACTATTTTTTAAAACGAATTCCTAGTACAAAAATTTAAAATTGAAGAAAATTTTTTGAATTTTTTTTACTTAAAAGTTGTTTTACAAAGCAAGAAGAAAATCGTCCCAAATGAAACCTTAGTGATCGTTCGATCCTTATTTCAAGGTGATTCAAAGATATTTGAATCATGAATAAATCATTATTTGAATATTGTTCACTTAGAGTTTAAATATTATTTAATTATGATTAGATTATATCTTATGATGGGAATTGCTCCAAACTGATCATCTATTAGGGTATAATATCATATCTTTTGGATGTCTCTATATTTCCACGGTCGAATTTATAAATAAAACCATAATCCACATAGCTTATACATAAAGTTCATCGATACTTTATTATTATTTTTTAATCTAATGCTACTGATTATTTCTCTTTTTTCTAATCAATATAGTACACAATAAATAAAATAAAGTGTAAGAATAATAGAGAGGATCATATTTTATACATGAAAAATATGTGGAGAATGAAACATGAAGGTGTTGGTTTTCATGATGATGAAGAGTTGGATTTTGCTCTCTTCATGAAAAAAGGGGAGACATTGATAGGTTGAGTGATGACAGACATTGGTCGATGATGAACGTTAGGCGGTGGCAACGGCTCGCGCTCTTCGTCGCATGATGTCTAGCTTCCTCCATCATTCAACCTTCGCCAGGCATTCAATGCTTATTGTTTAGTATCCACAATCATTCAATATACGCCATGTGATCGCTATCATCATCC